GACAATGCTGGCAACGCAACATGTCCAGAGTCACACATTCGGGGAAGGCAGCGGCGACAGTGCCGCGGTGGGCGCGATGGCTGGAGCTCATCCTTTCCTTCCTGGCAAGTGTATGTGTTCTATTCGCCTTCACAAGACTGGATGTGTCTATTCTTCACAGACCGATCAATCAACCCAGCGACTCGGCGCGAGGTCCATGGCCCCACGTGAAGCGTGGGTTCATCGTGCCAATGTTTGACAGCATGCTTCCCATTGGCATTTCACTGATCCAAGAGTTGCGGCGAATGGGAAACCGCGATCTCGTGCAAGTGTACCATTGCTTAGCGGAACTGTCGCCGCTGTCGCTGCGACTACTGCATCGCGCCGACGCGTACGTCGAGGTAGTGGACGTGTGCGCGGATTTCGTGGCGCAAGACAAGTTCACGTGGACCGAAGCACGGCGTTTCCGTAACTTCTTCATCAAGCCACTGGCGCTCGTCCACACCCGTCTCGAGGAAGTCATCTTGCTGGACGCGGATGACATCTTGTTTATCGATCCCGCCACATTGTGGGACGTCGACGCGTACAAGGCAACGGGAACCATGTTCTTCTACGATCGGGAGATCGTTGAGGACACGTTCATGCGGCTCAAGTACACGCATGTGGACCCGACGACCAACAATGTCGTTGATGAGAACACGTTGCAACAAATGTTTCGCCTGTTCGAGTTCGACCGGTTTGGGCTGCGCCGACCAATTGGACCGTCACCTCGCACGGCGTCATCCCTCGTGTACACGAACCAAAGTGCCCACGAACAAGACTCGAGCATTGTCGTCGTGGATAAGCGGCGCCATCCGCGGGCCATGGACGTGCTGTGGTTCCTCATCACGAACTGGCGCTTTCGATTCCCCAAGTACTCGTGGGGAGACAAAGAGAACTTTTGGCTTGCGTACGAGCTGAGCCAGTCGCCGTATTCGTTCTCGCCGCATGCAGCCACTGCCGCAGGGTATGTATAGTTGGTTTGTCGTTGCTGACGGTGTGGATGTCGCATAGCGTCGTGCAGCCCCACGATCCCTTGACAGTATGCGGCGAAATCGCCCACTATTTCCCCACGTCACCCAACACGACGCTCTTGCATATCAATGGCAACGCTCTGATCAATCCATACACCAAGACGAATGCAATCAACGGGTACGACAAGGCGTTCCGGCCGTCTAAGCTCGACCTCTTGGTGCGATCCGTTCCCACTCACGTCGCGCCCCCACGTGTCCGGAGTCCAACACCCATCGTCCAGCCCAACGCATCATGCCCACAAGAATGCCTCTACCAACGAGGAGTGCAGCTCATGACGAAGGCACAGCAGCAGGCGTTGGTGCGCCGCATCCACGACACATTTGCCGTTGCAGCGCAAGTGGATGCCCACGCCCCATTGTTGTCGCAATCGACCCTGCTTATCGCAGTTGCAATCATGTGCACGGTGGTTTTCGGTGCTGCGCAGTATCGATCGATCGCTCGATGAGCATGTGGATCATTCACATGGCATCCACACGACGCGTCGAATGGCACAAAGATGACAGATTGATGGATTGCTGGTTACGTTGGTGAACATGGAATATCGCCTTCTCATGAGTTGGCAAGCCGTGTGGTTCTACAAATTATATTTACATGACGTCCAACAGAGGGACGTAAGGATGTCCAAGAAGCGTCCAAGGGGGGGCGGGCGTCCTTGGCCTCTGCGCCTGGGGCATTTATGCAATTTGTTGATGAGTCGGGGAAAAATGAGTGCACGTGTGGCCAAACGATTGCTGGTTTGAACCGCACGATTGGCGTGCTATTTCGTATGGGCACTTTGCGCCATAAGTACAATATTTGGCTCATTGAAACTGTCTTGAAACAGCTCCCGACTGTCGCGATGGCGGAGGAAGGAATCGCAGAAGGATGCGTTGGTTTGGACCCTGAGCTCGCTGACGAGCTGTCTCGGGCCGAAGCAGTTGTCTCCATCCTTCTCTCCCGACTGCACTGTGACCCCGTGTCAGTGGACTCTGCGGTGTGGCCTCTGCACAACTGGGAGAGCTTGCTTTGGGCCCTCTCGCACCAAGCTCGCCATGGATCGTGCGACGACTGCCGTGGCCAACCCGACTACGAAAATTTTTCGGCAGCGTCCAGTGAGTCGTCACCCAACGTCAATTCGTTCGGTGCTATCTTGGCCTTTCCTGATAGAAATGCACAGTGCTCGCCCGTGGTATGCGTCATGCTGTGCTGGCCGGCTCGGACGTGACAGCTACATGTGCGCCCAGTGTGTGCTGCGTGAGTCAACTCATTGCGATGTATTCAGGAAAAAGTGGGAATTGCTGGGCGCAATGGCCCCGGGAGACGCTGCCGCGAAGTACCTGGATATCGTCAGCGATGTCTTGCCTGGATGGGACGCAACTCCCGGGCCGGACGTAGCTCTTCTCGTACGCTGTCACATAATCTTTCCACTTTATTCAAAGTGGCACTGCCATGTAGGCCGAATGGACTGCCGACGCGTCGTCGTACTGCTGTTCGAACTGCGGCGAGGGCTTCACGTTGCTCAATCGACGGCATCACGTACGTTTCGAAGAAGGTAGCTCGTTGATGCGAGCCCGTCTTTACCAGTGTCGTCGCTGCTCCAAGCTTGTGTGCGCGCCGTGTTCGTCCACACGGCTCGCCTTGCGTCTCTTTCCTGGCCAGCCGCTCAAAATCCAGCGTGTTTGCAACGGATGCGTCTCGACGATGAACCCACAAGTTCGTTCGACGCTGGAGAAAGGACTGCCGCTACCGCCATCGTCATACACTTCGGAGTCGGGTCAAGCCACAACAGAATCTCGCACGGCCACAGTGCTTTCAGTTGAGAGTGCCGAGGGCGACCCATCGCCACAAGACGATGCGGTGTCACGTACCACGCACGCAGGTCAGCATGTGACGTTGTCAGACAAGACTGCGTGGGAACGGCTGGAAATTGTGAATGTAGGAATGAAAGCTGTGCCCAAGCAAAGCTTGATCAAACGGGGATATGTTGAACGGATGGTAGCGCGACGTTTCTTGCTCTTGTCTCCCCTCTAGTCGCCGCCTCTTTGTCTAGATTGGATCTCGCTTTCAAAAGCGATGGGAGAAGTTCTTTCTCGTGTTGCTCGTTCGGAAAGGATCGGTTGGGATATACACGCACGAAGACGACATGGCGCCGATGGAAGTCTACAAGTTGGCAGGTTACTCGATCCGAGTCAAAAGCGAAAAGCGACGGCCGCATCAATTCAAGGTGCGCCGACACGCGTCTCCCGCCGGCTGACCTTCGCGTAGGTGGAGCATCCAATCCTCACGCCCATGCGCCTCTGCGTCACTTCTCTCCGCGAGATGAACGAGTGGATCACGGCGTTCTCGCAGGCGATTGACGCGTCCAATGCGTCCGAATTGCTGCGCGGGTGATGCGAAAACGTAGCGAAACGAATTCGACAATATGATTGGTTGGCTACCTTTTGCGTGGACCAATCAAATCACTGATCGCGGCGGACATGATCGCGCCGACAAATGCAGGTAGGCCGCGCACGATGGGGAGAGCCAAAAGGAGCACTGCGAAATTGCAACACGGCGGCGACAATCGATGCTTCATGGGTTATCATTCGGGCTTCGCATGAGGCTGGAGACTCGCTTTTCATGTTGGCACCAGGTGGACAATTAAGGACGTGGACATAGGGTTGGAAGGGACAGGATTAGTGTTTGCTTGTCGACATCCAAGTCATCGCACATCCAAGGTGGATATGCATGGATGCCTAGCTGACACCACGAGGGCAAGTTGAGATGTGTGGAATGATTGCCTTGGAGTAAACTAGGTTGTCGAGTCATGACTATTACGAGAGCACAGTTCGATTGGGATGTTAAAGCACTGGGGTTTCCCATCAAAACTGTCCAGTGCTGCATTCCTCTAATTACAACTTCTTAGGATACATATACAAAGCATAGTTTAAATATTGCTCCAAAAAGATGGGGCGCTGGATGCTTCGTCACCGGCACTTACTCCATATAACACGGTGGGCAGTTGACCACGCCCGAGAAAAACTCGACTGTCTGGTTGCCTGATGTGACGAGGACGCGACCGGTCGGTGTTCGGCCATATTCGTACGAAGTCAGTTCAACAGGAGTCGGAACAGTCGGGACAATCGTGTAGCCGTGCGTTTCCAGGTAAAATTCATCTTCGTCATGGTGGTGCGACTTCCTCGGGGACGAGTTGTGGTAGGGCATGTACGGACGTGGTTGTTGCGAATAGCTATACACGGGAGACGTTCGTTGCCGCAGGTGCGAATCATCTTGCATCGAGTACGGGTTGTACGCTTGCATGCCGTGGATCGTCTGGGAATACATGCTGGGACTGCGGCCGCGGTCAAAATTTGGAATGAAGAATTGTTGGCGAGCTGAACCTCACCCGACATTATATGACGATTTGTATGGGCATTCATGGACGAAGCATGAAAAATAAAAAAAAGCGCAGAAAAATTCCGATATTTAAAACCCGCTATCGTCGGTCGATACAAATGTCAAGTACTGTGGGACTCAGGCACTGGCTTTCCCGCAGCAGACGTCGGGAACCAGTTTCGACCAATCCGCATCGAGAGATTTAGAATGAGCCAATCAAATCGCTTCAATCCGCAAGACGCCGCAACGTTGGGCAGGTGTCGAATTCCATGCGAACGTGGATTGGCTGGAATTTTATGGAATGGTATAAAGTTGACTTGAATTCAGTAAGATCATGAATTGAATTGCAATCGACTCAGAAAAAGCCAGCATGCCGCCATATTATAATGGCCCCCCTCGCCTAAGTTTCCATATAATTTTATACAATTTGCCGAATCTTTTCCAACACACAGCAGCATGCAATTCGAACGTCAACCAGATGCCTCCTGACTCTGCCGCCCGAGCAGAGTCCCGCGCCGCCTCACTGCCGCTGGTCTGCTGATCCAACGTGCGAGAGAGGGCGGACAACGCGGCAGATAGTCTCGCCTACAGCGGCAAGTGAGGAGAGGTGTCGGTTGCACAAGCGGTGGGTGCACGGTCTTTGAGCGGCAAGCATTTGTTCTGACACGGACGCGTGAGTTACAGCAACTCAGCATAAACGACGACGGGTGCAGGGCCTGGATTGGCGGGTTGGTGGGACGACATGATGATGGAGGTGACGAACACACGACTCCACGATCAGCACAACCCACCCTCCTCCACCCTGGTCGAGAACACTGGGAGCAGAGGCACGACGGTGTTCTGCAGCGACAACGAGGGTTGTGCAACAAAGAGGCGGTCTTGAGAGTTGGAATCGACGATCGCGGGAACGGGGGTGGGCATGCGCCGGCGAGGAGGTACATCGCTCATGATGCGCCATTGATGACGAGTATATCTCACTCGGCGCGAAAAGATCGCGGGAGCGATGAAAACCGCCGGCCAAGTGTGCTGCGCCACGGGGGCAGACAAGTTCTCCACAACACAAAACCCGCCCTCGACCATGCACGAGTTCCTCGAGGACACACCTCGACGGCACGAACACCCGAGGAATTCGTCCACTGTGCACTACGATATGATCCAGCATGTCGTGAAGTTCCTGAGAGCGTCAATTGGAATGCTCCGTCGACCCACAGGATGCCTTGACCAAGAGCAGCGGGCAAAACGCCGCAGGAACTAGCGGCTCTATAGAAGATGAAGGAGGTGCGCGCCACGTGCAGACGTCTGTCCCCTGATGGAGATGCGAGGGAGTGGAGGACGGAGTTATTCAAAAGCGTAGTTTGGATGGACGGTCAGGAACCGATCTTGGGTCTCGTCGTCTTCGTCGACGACCTGGAGAAACCCATCCTTGATGAGTTTCTCCACCACAGACAAGATCATCTTGCGTTCCATGGCGAGTTGGTGCTCCGAGTTGATATCCTGTAACGCCAGGTACCACGTCACAACTTCTCCTTGGAGGACGCCACACGTCGAGAACTCGTCCGCGTTGCTTTGGGTTTGCTTGAATGCTTCCATTTCATCCTCCTTGTCTCGGATGAAGCGCGACACGGCTTTTTGAATCCACGCAAACCGCTCGAACGTTATGGACGACCCGCTGCCGTCAATGTCGACTTGGTTTTGGTGCACACCCGCGTCGACGGAATTCGCGGCGGCCACGTCTTCCGTGGATGTCGCGGCGGGCAACTGCGGCACGTCCAAGTCAATGTTTTGTGTGTCCACGTGGATGATCGACTTGTTCAGCAACCGATACGCTTCCTGAACATGCTCAACCTGCACGGTTTCGTCCAAATCGATGCGGGCCAGCGCCTCCGACAGCCGGATCATTGACTCGAGCTGGCGCACCGTTATTCGGTACGCAATGTTGCTCTGGCCGTTGCTGCTCACGTCGTTTTCACGGAGCTTGCGGTAGCACGCGACCATCATGCGCTTGGCGTCCGGAGCAATGACGGGGTTCAACGTCCGCGCAAACTTGATGTACTTTTGCAATGCTTCCTCCGGGTACGCTTGTTCTGGTTGCGCATGGACCTGGAGCTAAATGTACCGTGTGTCAGGCGCGAGAGGCACACAAAGCTGCGAGGCGCGTCGGCTATCTTGGTGGCATACCTCGGGCGGCTTGTGCAGATTTACAATGTGCTGGGCGATCTTTTCGTCCGCGACTTCGTTGCACTCGTCCAGAATCTACCGCAGCCCACGACGCATTTCGTTGAAAACCGTGCATGTTTTCACCACCAATCGCACCACAAAGAACAAGTCGAACCGCGACATGATCGGCGCCGAGATATTGACGTTGTACTTGAGCGTCTACGATGCACTCAGGCAAAAGTGCCCCACGACAAACACCGTGGGATACCTTGGTTTTGTCGTACCGGCCGTTCTGAGGGTTCGCCGCCGCCAGAATCGACGTGCGGGCGTTCAGAGTGGCTTGAATCCCGGCTTTCGTGATCGAGATGGTCTGTTGCTCCATGGCTTCGTGGATTGCGACTTGGTCCATCGGGTCCATCTTGTCGAATTCGTCGATGCAGCAAATGCCATTATCCGACAGCATCAAGGCACCGGCCTCGACGCAGTATTCGCCCGTGTCGGGGTCACGACTCACGCTTGCCGTCAACCCTGCCGCAGAGCTCACTTTCCCACTCGTATAGATTGCTCGCGGAAGGAACTGGACAATGTACTTGAGGAACTGCGACTTGGCGGTCGACGGATCTCCCTGCGACCAACCCAAATGTCGGACGCAGACGTAAACTAGGAGCACTCACCACAATGCAAATGTTAATGTCCCCACGCAGTTTGATCCCTTCGTTTGTGGTCTTGTGCACGCCGCCAAACAGCATGAGCAGAATGCCCTTGCGAATTTCGTCGTGGCCGTATACAGACGGACACAGCGACTTGGCCATTTTCATGTACCGGTCCGAGTCGGCCTTCATCAGTCGAATCGACTCGAGTTCTTCCTCGGAAAAGTCGTTTTCGGTCTCCTCGCCCATTTCTGATCGAATCGAGACCCGGTCAAATCGCTGCGCCATGGTCTATGCATCGTTGGCGTTACATGCACACACCCCTGAGTGCCGCAACCTGCACAGAGCACGCCAAGAACGCCGTCTTGTACGTCAGTTCTTTGACCCCTGTCGCTTTCAGCCCACGCACACCCTCGCCTTCCATGCCGTGGGCACTGTTCTCGCCTATGGGGGGTTTGATTCAAGCCAAGATGACCTCGCAGGTTAGAGTACCGCCACGCCTGGCTGCCACGACATTCTCTCCGCCATTTTTCCCGAACCGAGACACGTCCGGAACAACGATCAAAGCACCGGTAAACACGACCCTGTCGCCGGCTTTTGCTTGTTCGACGTTTTCGTGCCGCAAGATGACGTCGATCGACCGAGGCATGGACCCCGCGGGGATTTCGTCGCTGTTTTCTTGAACACGCACTTTTTGCCAATCGACAAACACACTCTTTTCAGGATGCAACTGCGACGGATGCAAACTCATCATTGTACGAACTGAAAACATTGAACGTCATGTGGCGTACCTCCCATTGACTGGTGTTGCCGCAAAACGGATTCGCACACTTCTTGGGCTCCATGTATCGGAACTGCTGCTCGACACCTTCGACGACGCCCCCACATTCGATGCACGTGAACGCCCCAAAAAGTAACTCTGGTCGCACTTCACTAGTCCGTGTCGCGGTACCGCTGAAACTATTCATCTTGCCGATTTCCTGCATCCGCAGTTGCCGAATCTTCCGAACCATTGTGAAGTTGTAAAAACACACAAACGTCTCACGTCCTGTAGCGCAAAACTCCGCTGCAGCCTGTCGCAATGGAATCTCCCATCGCAAGTACGCAGCTGCGAGAGCTTGTGCCAAGTCTACGTCGGAGGCAAACAACCTTGAGTAGTCGACAAACAACGACGACGTTTCTGTTTGTCGCATGAGTTCCGCCTGCTGCTCGTACGACACCTCGCTCCTCAGATGGTTGAGAAATCGCATCTTGACAACCTCGGCAGTCTCGTCGACGACGAGAGGTATCCGCTGGGCTTGCGGTGCTGGCGCTGCGCGCCCCGCCATATTTCCGCCCTTGTATTTGAAAATGACAACTCCAGACAGTTCCCATAAAAAATATTTATGATTTGGTAATGTGAACTTGATTCTACTAACAACGATGACAAAACATTATTTAATTGCTGAAAGTAGAGTAAAATATGTTCACAGGTACTAAGCTTGCAAACAGTATGGTTCCCAATTTCCCGCGTGAAGGCACCGTTTCCGGATGTAATCTAAGACATTTGAAAATTGTGAACATATCCGATTCTAACGCATGAGCAAATGACCACGTCAGTGGCCCAGCGGTGCCCTCACACCGTGAGCACTGGCGCAGGCATCGCAATGGACAGCATAACATTGTGCTCATGCACCCTCGAAGGTACATCTTTCGAGATCCATCATCCCATCATCCCAGGAATTCAGGTGGGTACATGTGAGTTGTTCAAACTCGCGTGCCTGCAGCAGACTCATGTCAAGAGACTAAACATCATGGAGGGCGGCGGCGGCATTTGCCTTCACCATTGCCACAAACGAAACAACGAATACAATCGTAAAATCTCAAATATATATATAAATGTACAATGGTCCAAGCCAACGTGCCGCGCGCCCCAACCGCCAAAGGGAATCCGATCGAGAGAGCAAAACCCACCAACTTCATTTACATCAAAAATAAGTTGCACATTCTCTGCTCTCCGCATTCCCTTGTTTGGTTGGTTTGCTTGGTTCCCTATTCTTCCGACTGATGCGCTTCCAACACCGCCAACGCCTCCGCGATCTTCGAGTCCAACGCGTCGGGCGACTCCAACAAATGCAACAACTCGCCGTTGTCCATTTCGAGCAACATGCCCGTGATTTTGCCCGCCAATTCCGGTTGGGAGCGGTGGATCAACGGGAACAAGCGTTCGCCAATCATGTTCTTTTGGATGCTCGGCGACGCAGCCGCCAACGCCGCAGACGTCAACGGTTCCAACGTGGGCACACCAGCGACCACCGGCGCGGCAGGAGGCATTTGTTCCTGCAGAGACGGTTGGTTGCGAGCGTTGGCCGTGTACTTGAAGTTGTTGCGGTTGTTTTGACGAGGGCCGTTAGGGTTTCCCGGTTGGCCTTGAGGAGGACCAGCCATTTGGCCAGGAGGACCTTGCGGGCGACGACCACGAGGTTGGCGTTGTTGGCCGCCTTGCGCAGGCATACCGTACTGGGGCATGCCGTAGCCGCCAGGACCACCGGGAACACCGGGCTGGCGGTAAGGCATAGGGCCGCGAGGAATACCTCCACGGGGCATCATCTGTTGAGGGTACACAAACCCATGGCGTGCTTGGGGCGGCAATTGGTTGGGTTGCGCGTAGAACATGGGAGCTGCGCCGTACATGGGCGGCTGATGTTGCATGGGCAAGCCACGACCAACAACCATACCGGTGGCGCGCTGTTGAGCATGTTGAGCTTCCAATTGAGCGCGGCGAACTTCCTTGCGCTGGGCCAAAGCGACATAAATGGGCTTGCCGTTGAGGAGTTTGCCGTTCATGTCAGTCACGGCCTTCGTGGCTTCTTCCGGGGTGGCAAAGCACACGAAGCCGAAACCACGCGAGGTACCGGCAGGGTCGCGCATGATGCGGGCGCTCGTGATCGTGCCGACCGCTGCAAACGCTTCGCGCAAATCGTCGTCGTTAAGTTGGTCGTCCAAGTTCTTGACGTACAAGTTGACGCCTTGGTACTTGTTGATGCGTTCCATTTTTAACGCTTCAAACTTGTGACGGAGTTCACGCTCGCGTTCGCTGCGCTTTTGAGCCTTGCCAACGTACAATTCAATGTCGGCACCGTTGTCGTCCTTAGCCACGGGCTTGCCGTTGAGCTTGTCGGTGGCTTGACGGGCAGATTCGGGCTCTTCGAAGTTCACGAAACCAAAGCCGCGGTTCGAGTCCGACGTCGAGTCCTTCATCACGACGCACGACGAGATAGCACCAAAGGGTTCGAATTCCTTGCGCAACGTAGCATCGTCCCAAGTTTGGGGAATGTTCTTCACGTAGCAGTTGGTCCAGTCCGAGTCGGCAGGGCGGTTTTCGCGCTTTTGGAAGTGGCCGACGAAAACTTCGGTGCCAGCAATCAACATGCCGTTGATCTTTTCGATAGCCGATTGAGCGGCTTCGTTGGTCTCGTAGTGCACGTATCCGTACCCCTTCGAGTTTCCGTTCAAGTCGTATGCGACCTTGCACGACAAAATGTTGCCGAACAGGGAAAACGTGTCGTACAACGCCTTGTTGTCAATCGACGTGTCGAGGTTTTTGACAAAGATGTTGCCGACGCCCGATTTACGCAACGAGGGGTCACGTTGAGACCACATGATGCGGCACGGCACGCTCTTGATGCTCGTGTAGTTCATCGTGTCCAACGCACGTTCGGCGTCGCTCACGTTGTGGAAGTTGACGTACGCGTAGCCCAACGACCGACGGGTGACCGCATCACGGCACACACGGATCGACGCCACGGGGCCGACGGCGTTGAAAATCTCAAACAACAACGCCTACAACCCGTTTCGTCCTGTTCGTTCATCAACGGTCAATCCTACCTCCGTCACTTCGGGGTGGATGTCGCCGACGTACAACGACGCGGTGTGGAACGACTGGGCAGGGGCAGCAGGCGTGTTGGTGGCAACGGGGCTCGACGGGGTCGCGGCGGCGGCAGAGCTCATGGTTGTTGGGTGATTTTTCTGTTTTTTTATGAAGGAAGAGGAGGTAGACCAATCTTCGGCGACGAAGAAAGCAAACCAAAAAACGGGAATGACACGGCGGAAGCGTGGAATTTCCGTTGGCGGCGCTGCACCAGTCAAAAAACCCGTCGCTCCGGTTCCCCACCACCCTCAAACGGACCAATCAGACGCGCCGAATGCCAACTATCCGCCAATCACAGGGCATGTTGACGGAGACGACCTCTGACAAGTGATACTCGCCGCCGCGCACCGCGGCATGGTGATGTGGGGCGGCGGAGATTCCCTCTATAATTCAATACGACCCCAACGTCCCCACACTCATTTGGACAAAAGGACGGGGAACGCGGCGAGGCGGCGCAGGACCGACGGACGCACACATGCGAGTGTGTGTGTGTGCATGCACCTCCAGTGGAACAGGGACAGGTCGCGGTCGGCTCGTTTGAACAGGTGCAGGTTGAAGTTGAAGCGATGGAATGACACAGCAGGTTGAGCGGCCCCTGCGACGACAGCCCGATCTTTGTGCAGGAGTCGCGGATGGGGATGAGGTTGGTTTGCAAGAGGCTGCGCCGCACGTAGGGTTGGGAGCGGTTCCATGAAGAGTGGCAGGGAATTTCGTGGAATGCAACCTTGACAGGACGATAATCGAATGACGTTGATGGGGGCTACCATCGCCGTTGCAGCATTGTTAGGTTTCTCATGGAGTGGTGCATGCTAATCGGTCAACAATGTCAGCTTCCAGCGGAGGAGGTGGAGATCCTCGCATCTGACGCGGCATGTCAACAAGCTTGAACGCTCACTGTACCAAGTCACCGGACGAACGTGGGGAGACTTGGTTTTCGTGTTGTGCGTGTTGGAACAATTGTTGGCAAAGGTCGTAGCCCGCTCAAAATCACTCGTCCTGTCCAGTGGGAGGCCGTAGTTACTGATGTGTGCTAGATGGACTCACTTGCTCCGACGCCGCGTCGGCGCTGTTCATCGCAGCGAGCTGCCGCTCGTCGACTACTGTAGACCGGCATTGGACGCCCATCAAACGACGATGCCAACGATTCATCTGTATGATTGGTTAAAAAACTCACGTATCTAGATATGTGATTGGCTATTGCAGAAGAATTCTTTCCCTCCATCTTTCAAGTCTTTTTTGCGATCATGTCCATCGAGTACTCCTGCGGCTGTGGGCGGCAGTACCCGCTGGCTGAACTGTACTGGAGTGACACGTGCAAGAAGATCGTGTGTCCATGGCCGACGTGCTCCCTGCAGGAGATCGACTCGTACTTTTGTCGCTTCCAGATGGACAACCTGCCGTCCAAGGAAGCGGCAACATACAAAAACCGGTCGGCACGGACGTTTGCATGTCCCGACTGCAAGAGCACGTTGCAAACTATCAAACACGACAAATACATGTTCTTTTGCGCCCACTGTCGGTGGGATTCGGACTCGATCCAGTTGACCGATGAAGACCCGGACACGTTGATGATGGTTGCGAACACACGAGAGCGAGAAGAGCACGTGTTCGACGTCCTGCTGTCGCACTACCAACAGAAAGCGGCGCAAACCTCAGGACCCCATCACACGGGAACACGTTCCACATCCAAGCGCTCGGTCACCACTGTGTCGTCGTCGAGGTATCGTCCTTCCTTCACAAATCTCTCCACCGTAATCTCGTGTGTGCCTAGATTCCTCAAGCAATCCCTTGCCAATCGCAAGCAATCTGTGCTCCAGCGCAACTGGAAGATGGAAGACCTTGAGATGAAGCTGAAGGAGACGTTGTCGACGGCGGCTTCAGCAGTCGATGCCACTCTCGTCGAAAAGTGTCGGCTGAAAGTCCCGCAACACGAGCGCTTCCACAGCGTCGATGCCGTCAAGGCGGCACAGACACACGATATGGCAGTCGTGTCTACGTTGGCCCAGAGGAATCTGTGCACGCCATTGTTGCAGTCGCGGGACGTGTCGGCGCTCTTCCCGTCGCGACCAGATTTGCGCGTCAAGCGTTCGTGGCGGTAATGACGTCACAACACAATCGTGTGTGTATGAACAAGGCGATGTAGATGTGTGGAAAGCATGGCAAGCGGCGCCCCCGGCATCCTGGTGAAGCCCCAAATCAATCCGATGACTGGCGACAGTTCTATGGTAGTCGCGGCGTCGTGGTGGAAGAAGGCGTCGCTCGCCATTCACGTGGTCCCGTCCATTACGATTCGGCGCCTGTGGGAACTCAACGCATCAAGTCCGAACGATGCTGTGGCGTGGTTGCTCGTGGAGAATCCGCTCGAAGAGGACGTGGTGCTAGTGGTGAAGAGCATCGATGGTAACGCAAGGGTGCCGACAGCACCGATACGAGTGGGCGGGTACGAAGACCCAAACTTGATCGACATCACTGGCGCCGACATCATCAAATTCATTGGTACGCGGAAGAGTTTTTGCACACAGGAGCTGACTGCGATGTGCTGTCTAGATATGGCGGATGCAGACACGTCGGCAGTCCTTGTCTCGCGAAACTACGCCAAGATCAAGCTGGAAACATCGATAGACTTTGTGGCATCCAGGTCGCCCCTGGAACTCGACATCCACGTGCATGATGCGTCGGCGGTCGACGGAAGCAGCGCCGAGAGTGACGTGTCGGCGATGCCATTATTATGTCGGTTTGTTGTCGCGCTGGATATCCCAGTGGCAGATTCGCCACGAGGATAACGGATGGAGTTGACAATGTTAACGGAGAGATTACGACGAGGATTCCAAGAAGAGGCGAATGCGCTCCAGCATGTCCGCCTTGACGGAGTCCGGCACGGATGCTAATGACACGATTCAGTGCATGGACGTCAGATAACCTACGACACGTACATCTTCCTTTCGGGGTGATTTCTTCCACGAGATCGTCGACCGTGATTTGATCGATACCCTTTGTCTTGATGAGGTCTACATGCGTTGGAAGGGTCACTGCAGCTGGTGGACGCGGACGTGCCCGTACCCTTGCAATACATGCGCATTTCATCGCGCCACCCGCATTCGATGAGCTTATGACGCAGGATCTCCTTCAACCTGCGCACACAGGTCATTCACACCAGTGGAACGAATGAAACGCGTTCTCTCACCGTTCTTTCTCGCCAGATTCGATGAGCTTCTGATTGATCGTCTCCTTTACCTGCTCATCTCGCAGTTTCTGCTGGCTATACGCCCTACACGTGGGAGACATCGCTTGATGGCACACGCACATGCGGAAGGGGGGCGACGTACTCGGACATGGTACGTCGGCTGATGTGGTGATGCAAGGTGCCAAAGGTCGGCACAAAATTAACCGGATGACCGGATACACTTCACGTTAGTACACCCTCACCTTGCATCGATGCTTCCAAAAGGTCATTCTGTATCAAGGCGGGAACAACGACAAGATCCCACACATGAGAAAGGATGCATTGCTTGCTCGAGGCAGGATGCCAGAAATGGTTTCCTGTGATAGTAGTGCTTGGGAAATTGGTTGTGCGTACTTGCGTGGGGTAGATTGTAGCCCACATGCAAAAACTAGATGAGGAGGTTCAAAAGACCATTGAATTGGGTGCAATATGGACTCAAATTGAGGCGTTGACGTTGGACAGCGGCACGGAGGTTGGTTGCTGACGATATGTTCGCCGCTTTGGGCGTCGCTCAATTGACTGTTGACGACATCTAAATTTGAAAATATGAACTTTTTTTTTCGGAATTGTCAAATACTACGAACATTTAGAATTGGACAGAGGAAGTACCACTTACTATTCACGCTAGTAGAGAGAAATCATCGATTTAAGGTACATTGGCAGTGTGCAAAAGATTTTCAACTGCGTGACGGTTGGCGACACCACTGCACTCGATGATCAAGGCATCGAGCAAGCCCCACGCCGTTGGCTGCTTCCAAGCATGACGATGGGTACATGACGTGCGTCTTCTTTAGGCCAAGGCTGCGCCAAAGAACGCGATGGACATGAAGAAGCGGCGGTGGCTCCTGGAAACGTATTTGGACTCGCGAGACTATACTGGCGCCATGACGCTGTTACGATTTCAAGCCAAGCATGGAGAACGGTCGCGACTCAACACGCTTTGGACAGCTTACTGCCTCTTCCACATGGGCGAATACATGCAAGCACTGCGACATTACGAAGAAGTGCTGGTGCGTACAAGTTCTCAGCTGCGATCGTGTGACGTTACTGCCATAGAAACGAGACGAAGAGGAGCGCTGTGCAGACCCGAGTCAGTCCAACCCCGTCATGATCAACATCGCGTGCTGCTACCTCTACCTGCGTGTTCGTGGACCACGCCGTCCACACCACCGCCACAACGTTGTCGTTGTAGTACTTTGACTTGGCCAAGAACGCCCTGGCACAAGTGATCGAACCGGACGCTGCCATGGCTGATGCGCAACAGCGCCTTCGTCTGCTGCTAGCACAGCGAACCAAAGACACGGGCGCCATCCATTCCTTGCTATACGAGCAGTCTTCAACCGTCTCGAGTCAGCTCGCGTCTGCCGCTGTCCTGTTTCACGAGCGCAACTTCCAGGGTGTATGACTGCATGTCGTCCTCTCGTTCGAGAGCAGTGGGAGCATTTTGATAACGGGGAGTCATTCCATTAGGCCGTGGATATTTACAAGCGGCTCCTCGCACGGCACGAGAGCCATGCTGCGGTGCATGTGTACCTGGCCATGTGCTACTACCACCTCGAGTACTATGACATATCGTCCGAGATGCTCGCCACGTACTTGTCTGCCGTCGACGCGCACAGCATGGTCGCCAGGAACCTTGCCGCGTGCAACACGTTCCATTTGGTCGACGGGATGTCAGCAGAGAAGTCGTTGAATTTGCGAGGCGACCAGCGGGGGGTGGGTTGATCTCGCTATAGTTTCTCGATTGGCGTGGACATATCGGATGATGGGTCGTAGGCAGCAGGCCATGCGTTGGTGGAGCACAACTTAGTCGTGTTTCGAGACGGCGAACTTGCGCTGAGGCTCTGGCCAGCCTTGGTTGACACTGTGGCCGAAGCACAACTCAACCTGGCGCTGTTTCATATCAAGCACGACAAATTTGACAAGGCATACGACATGCTGGACGCTTTTGAGCCTGCCCAGCCGATTGAGTACATTGTGAAAGGTTTGAAATTGTTTCGCCCATCCATGGCCATCGTGCCGCTTCAGCAGTAGCTGACACGATCCATCATGTAGCGATTGTGCACATGTGGATGGGCCAGCAACAAGCAGAGGGAGTCAGCCAGGTCCACCGAGGGGCCATCACCCCAAACAACGAGCACTTGTTTCTGAGCGAGAAATACTTTGAAACGGTGGGAGCCGCCTCAACCGAGTGCGACACGATCCGTGGCCGTCAAGCCATGGCGTCCCTGTACTTGCTTCGAAAGGAGGTACATCATCCAGCGACTCGGCCACCGACTTGCTGTTCATGCGTTTGGGCATGTCGAATCACTGCGTAGTTTGCGACGGCGCTTGTGTACTTGAAATCGATTGCGATGTACCATGTGCACGACGACACATTCAATTGGAACTATGGCGTCGCGCTGGCTGCGACGGGCGGGTTCTCTGTACGTCGAGCTCGATGGACCATCGACAAAAGCTGAGGGGGCATGCATGGACGTCTCTAGGAAGGCGAGAACGTCTTAGGCCAAGTCCAAAACCCCCAGTGGAGACAAGAGTACACATACCTGGCATGGCTCGCGCGGTGCCACATTCGGTCCATCAAGCAGTCTCAATTGGCGTGGGACCTCTACCTCAAAGTGAAAAACTCGACCGACGCTCTCCAGCTGCTCAAACTCATCGCGAATGAGTACTACTTGGTATGTTTTCGTGGCGCATGCCGACCGCCCATTGCCATCAACGCATGAGCGCGTAGATGGCCGATTACTTTTACGCAGCCAAGGCGTTCGACGTGCTGGAACGGGTGGACCCCGACCCTGAATTCTGGGAAGCAAAGCGGGGGGCGTGCATCGGGTACTTTCACAAGGCAAGTCTTCCTGCGGTTACCATACAGCGGGCCATGCTGAATGGATGCATATGACCTAGGCCGTGGCCGGCAAATGCGACGCCACCAAGTTGCTGGACGTCCTGGCCATGCTCGAAGCATCCAAGCACCATCAGGGCAAAGTTATTGCACGGACGCTGCGGGCGTACTGCGAGTCCGCGCACTTGATTTGATGAACAAAAGGGATTCAAGACGGGTTCTTACAATTGCTACATCCACAGCATGAGCAACTACCCCCATGTCTTGGTGGTGCCTAGCGCGTGCTGAAGCTGTTTCTTGGACACGTTAAACAACGCTTCAAAGATCCAATACCGCGTCATTTGCGACGCCAGCAACGCGATCGCCACTTCGTCGTCGCGGTCGTCGAGATGGGCCATTTGTCGCGGACACTGGCAAGTCCCGACGTGCGCTATTGCAGACGCCACGGGGGCAGCCACGTACGCCTGAATCCAGTCTTCCACGCACGCTGCCCCTTTCAAGTAGACTCCTTCCAGCCGTCGAAACGAAACGTGGCTGACGTCGCCAGAGTTCCACCTGGTGAAGATCGCGGCAATGTGGTGCTGGTCCAAGTCGATACTGGGTCGGGTTGGGATGGCGACGGGGGACACAAACGGGGCGAAGGGCACCTCGACATGAGTCTCTTGCTTCGATTCAAGACGTGTGACCTCGTCTGGAACGGTGCACTGGATCACGCAGCCCTTCAATAGCGCGGACCGGCTCACAAGCTCCGTAGCTTCAGCCACCCACGCCCGCACGAGCAAGTTGGCCAAAAGAAAAACTTCAAGCGAAAAGTCTTGAAAGCTCGAGTCTTTCTCGAATTGGACTCCAGTCTCGTCGCTCGCACTGGCGGTATGGGTGGCTGCAGTGCCCACCATTTGTGTGGTGGACCGTGTTGGAAGGAAATGTTTCGGTCGTGGGTCGTCGTCTAAAGCGGTGGACGCCACGACCGACGTGCCTCCATCGCCCGCCAAAGGATTCGCATTTGTAAGGAGCCGAGTGGATGTAAGCGATGGATTTTGAGTCGCCTCGACGGCCGCGTCGACGACGTTCATGGATGCCTCGGCTACCCACGCACGTACGAGCAGATTTGCCAACAAGACGATCTCCAATGTCATGTCGTGCCCCACTTCGCCGTCGGTGGCGATCGTGTCAGGTAATCTGGGTGAGAGTGGTGGCTTGGTAGCTGTATGACTCACAACGTCACCATGGAGGCCATCGTGTGGTGACGGCGGTCGCTTGGGCTGTTTTGGTTCGAGTTGATGCAAGCCCTCGGGCGACGTCGTGGGCGGTGGCAAGTCACAGGTCGTTGTAGAGTCCAGGACTCGTTGCATGGCGTCCGAAGTCCATGCCCGCACGAAGAGATTGGCAAGAAGCACGAGTTCCAACGGTACGTTGTCGGCGGCAGATGCGCGAGAGGCTTCAACCTCGATGGGACGACAAGGACAGCAAGTCGCAGTGGAGGACTCGACCATGTCGAATGCACAGGGATGGTTGGTGTCGGGGAGAGCGTTGGGGGCTGGCGTCGAGGCCGCGACTGGCTCACTGGGAGGGGTTGCGTCCATGATGCGCAGCATGGCTTCGGCTGTCCAGGCGCGGACGAGAAGGTTGGCCAGCAACACAGCTTCCATGGACCCATGAGCCTCAGTTGATGTACCAGTTTCGAAGGCGCCGTCGCGTTCCTCGTCGTCGCCGACTGTCCATGTTTCATGTCCGCATGGTGGATCGATCTCGGATGCTAACGCGTTATAGCCATCGACGACAGGGAAGGAGTCGCTGGTCAGCACAGTCTCGCAGGAAGTGCCGGCAGAGCACATGACGCGGAGCACGGCTTCTCCCATCCACGCGCGAACGAGGAGGTTCGACAGCAGCACTTCTTCCAACGACACATCGTCGTTCGATCCATCCGATCGGTTGGTCCATGGACAGTCGGCTGCCACCGGGACAAATTTACTGCACGTTGGTCCATCCAAATGACGTTCACGGCCGTCACTCGCGGCAGACCCGATGCTGTTGACCGTTGTCTTGTGCGCCGACCCGTCGGGTTGACACCGCTCCACAATGTTTCGAATCGCGTCGGATGTCCAAGCACGCACCAGCAAGCTCGCAAGCAGCGCGACTTCCAACGACTCGTCACTCGTGCTGTCGAGTCGGTCGTCGCGGGATAGAGCTGTCGACTCGGGGACCTTGGTGGTGTCGATGAATCGAATGGAACGTGGTTCATCGCCCAGGCCGTGGAGGGACACGTCGTCCACCACTTCGTGGTCAGGATGCAGCGACGAGAACTCAACAATTTTGTCCACGGCCTCGTACAACCACAGCCGCACGAGGTGGCCCGTGAAAACAGAGACGGCAACAGGTCGGTCCTCCAGCACAACGTCGGCGCCGTCGTCCATCGTCGCGTCATCGGTACCCACGAGCGCCATCGCCGTGTCATGGATCATGGGTGCCTGCGCGGATTTCGAAAGGGCCAAGTCCACCACACAAAGCAAGCACTCGTACACCCAACCATGGACCAATTGCTTGGCCATCATCGAGATGGCAACCGTGCCGTCGACAGCGTCGTACGCGCTGACTCTACCAGTTTCACTGGGTCCGACACCGTCGACACCCATACCATGGAGCATCTCGTTCGCTTGCCCACGTGGCGATGATGGTGACGAGGTAGCCGAGACATGGCCGTTTGAGCGACAGGTTGAAAAGCGAAGGACCTCGTCCATGGTCAAGTACACCCACCCTGCGACGAGCTGAGATGCCAAGAGCGATACCCGAACGAGGGGCGTCTTCCCTTCAGCAGCCGCTGTGAAGTCGCACGAGTCGACGTGGCGTAGCTCCCCCTCGTCAAAGAACAGGATTGGGGGGATGCTGGTCGCAGAATTGCCTTGGCAACGGATGCCATCGTCCACTACGACGACGTTTGCCATGGACGGCGTGAGCGCAAGGGGCGGCAGCAACGCGTCCGTGACATTCAGAACGGCTTCCAATATCCACGCCTTGGTGACTCGATCTGCAACAAGGGCCACGAGAACGGGGCAGTTCTCGTCATTCCCGTCGCACGCGTTCTGGTCATCTGGCTGCAGGTACGCGACACAGCTAGGCTCGCTCTTCTGTGGAAGGGCGACACGTTCGCCGGAGTTGGCTGCGACTTGAGCAAGTCGCGCTTGTTCGACTGGTTGTGTCTTAAAGAGCACAACATTCTCAAGTGTTTGAAAGATCCACGATTGCACGAGCTGACCAGCCAGCACGGAGGCTGCCACAGACAGACCCGTGGCGTGTGGCTCCGCCATCGTCACCTTGTCGACTTCACCACATACCTTGAGTCGTGGGGGTGGTGCCATAGGCCCATTGTCTACAGCGAGGCCAGCGCACCTCCGAGCGATTGCGCCGTAAAGCCACGACTGAATCAATTGGTGAGCCAGTATCGACACATAAACGCTCACTTTGTCGCTTGACAGGTCGTCGTGAAGGGAGACTTCTCGTGGTACCGACGCGTGGGAGGTACAACGGGGGCTCGAATCGTCCACACAAAAGTCATCGTCTGCATCGGCTTCGTGGATGGCATCGACGGGCGCCGTGCACGCGAGTGGCAGCGCGCTCATGTCTCCTTCGTCGATAAAGTCGTCATCGCGGGCGTACTCTTTGTCGGGGCTCCCCCCGACGACCAGTCGATTCTGCGACAAGCGATCGACCGTGTCAACGATCCAAACCGTCACGAGGCGGCTGGCCAGCAAACTCAAGTGGACGCTGTGGCGTTGTTCATCTTGGCTTGTGTCAACCCTGGCGGACGCGACGTTGGCCCCATGTGTCGACTTGTTTTGGGAAACGGGTGGTGGAGAAAGCTCGTGGTGAACGTCATGCCGAGTCGTTGAAACGAGCGAGATGTTTGCCAGGGTTTCGTAAATCCATGCTTGTACGAGGCGCTGGGCCATCACGGACGATGCCACACTCAGGTCATGCTGACATGATTCAACAGCCTGTCGTTCGATCGCTTCCCCTGCACCCCGTGCAATGCAACCAAGAGGACTACCGCCGAGTGGACGACCAGCACTCGTGCTTTGTCGTTCGATTGTCTCGTATATCCAGCACTGGACCAGTTGCGCGGCCATGAACGGCACAGAAACATACACGACGACGGCGTCGTCGTCTAGCAAGCCGACTGGCGCCTGTGGCGTCGAGAGAATCGTCTTGGACAACAACAGGGCAGGGCTTGCATGGCTGTCAAGTGGCTTGACCGATTGCATCATACTATTGACACAGGCAAATAGCCACCCACGCACGAGTTGGCTCGCCACCATCGACACTTGCACGGAGAGGGCTTCAGCTTGGTCGGCTTGGACAGAGCGATCAAGATGTTGTTCGTTCGGCTTCCCATGACGCGTCTCGTTCAGCTCGATGGAATCGTCGGCTCTGTCGTCTTCAAAACGAGGCTCCTTCACGTCCACTTGTCGTCCGTTCGATGCGCGCGCTGTGCGGTACACCAATCGATCCAACGCATCGTGGGTCCAACTTCGGACGAGCTGGCTTGCCGTTCTGGCAGTCCAAACACACACGTCGTCTTGGTTAGACCCGTATGCCGACCTCGAATTGCCCGTTCCTGACGTGGCATCGACGACGCTGCATGCAACGGCATCGATTCCGGTTTGTTCGAGCTTCTCCAGCTCTTGTTGCTGACACGGAAACGCCGCGGACACGTCTTGGGCGGGCTGGCACGATTCTTCCAGGGCGATCCCGCACATAGGACGAAGCGTGGGGGAAACGACCTCGGCCTTCGACACCATGCGCTCCACCGAGTCGTAGAGCCACATGTCCACAAGCTGTTTGGCAATTCGAGCCATCGCCACGGTATAGTCTTCCATGGCCGTGGGCAGGAGGGTCTGAATCGCAGGGGCTTCAGGTATCCTCGGCTCCCCGTCTCCATCGTTTAGCTCCAGAGTTGTAACATTCTGTTGGGCACAGTCGTGCTGGGACAGGATCCGATCCTGCGCGCCAAAGCTCCACCCCCGAACAAGCTGCCCAGCAAGGAGGGAGACTAGAACTGAGACGTCGTCAGTTGTGTGCATCCCGGCGGCGCCACGAGCCTCTTGTGATGACTGCGGGGCCTTCGTAGAGGACAACTCCCTTGGATGCTGGGAGACATCAATTGTCTGGACATCCACGCGAGCCCGGTGGATGAGCGGATCGCAAACTCGAACGATTCCATCGTACAACCATGAACGAGCGAGTTGACATGCCAGCAGCGAGACCTCGACGTCATGACCGGCTTCGGTATCGAGGACGACACCAACGTTTAGTGATTGAACCGGACTTGGGCTGCATCCTGGTAATGGGATGCCAGCATTTTCCAACCCGACAAAAGTATTGGCCGGCGTCATTGGCAAAAATCGCCGACCGGACGGAGGAGCCTTTGCCATGGCCTCACCGAGAATCGAGTCCAGCATGGCAGGATCTAGGTGGACGGGCGCTGCGTCTTCGTCGTGGCAGGGCAGGTGGACCACGCATGGCTTGGCGACAAAGATTGGGTCGACCTGGCGAGACCTTGCTTCCTCTGCATGGAGCGGGTCCTCGTGTCGGGGAAGCTCCATTAGCGGGTGGGTGAGTGGCACACCGCCAGCAGAGTCCGACGCAGGTGCTTGGGTCATATCACCGGCCATCTCAGACAACGCCAGAGGCGTGTTGGAGGGACCGTCAAGCAGGCGGTGGTCGGGAGGCCCATTCGTTCGAGATGTCGCAACGAAGGACGATTCGTCCGCCACGGACGACTGGCAGACATCGGCAAGATCACTCAACAAAGGAGCTTGTTGCTCGGAGGAGAGCTTCGCAGTCATGGAGTCGTTCTTCTTTTCTGGGGGTGGTCGTTGGTGGATTGAAGGGGCTGTGGCACGTTTCACTAGATGTGGGTACTCTCCAGTCGAGTCATACACCACGGGACTACGACGACCGGATGTCCCCACAGCATGCCGAAATCGAAACACGCTAGCCCCGTTGCCGGCGGGAGCTGCGGGGGCGAATTTGCGGTGACTTGGACGGACAGGGCTCGTCGGTTGGGAAGGGTTTTCCAATGGGTCGCCCCACGCGTGCTCCACGACGACTTTGGGCGTAGCTAGCCGGGGAGACACCCCGACACTGCTGGATCGCGCGGGCGGTGCTTTCGCAGCCACCGTGACGTCGATGGCCGCGTTGCTGGTCTGCCTTGTGGACACGTTGGTTTTCTGCGCGTCGTTCACCGACCGTCCGCCTTTCTTGGCTTGGGGCGATGCTCCACTGGTTTGTCTTTTCTTTGGGGACGATGCGGGGGGAGCGTCTATCGCTGGGGCCAAGAATACTTTCGGTGCGGTCGTCGGAGCGTGCTTTGAAGAAGGTTTGGCTGGTCTGGAAGGTCGCTTTGCATCTGCCTCGTGCTTTCCATCGCCCGATGCGAAATGTCCGAGCAAAGGCAAGTTCGGGTCGGACGGACTCGGGCGAAAGCGATTCGTGGCATGGCGAAGAACGTCCGAGTCGCCAGGCAGGTGCTGTTTGCACGGCGCACCCCCATACGCAGCGATGACCTTGTTTTCCTGGACCATGTGGCTCTCGGTAATCTGGACGGCGGCTTGAATGTCTCTGTGAGGAGGGATTGCTGACACGATAGGCAATTGGACGTCGAGCACGACGCGGTCGGTCGCGCGGGCTTTCGTTTTGGAGCCTTTCGGTGGGCGATGGGTGCCTGCAAAGGACGATGTCGAGTGTTTTGCACGGACAGGTATGCAAGGAACGCGACCTTTCTTTGGGGATGGCGACGCCGCCTTGGCCAGTTGCTGGCACACCGTGTCCGAGTACTTGAGGATTCCTAGCCACGTGACTGTCATGCTACGAATCCAAGCACCCGGACGGCCACGTTTGCATCGTGCTCTACGCTGTCGGGGTCGCAACAGATGACGCTACCTGCATCGTTGGCGTATTTGACCATGGCCGACGACACGGTCGGGATTCCCCCCAGTTCCTCGACGACCTTGGTGACCACTCGGTCCATCGACATTAAACTACGGTCCAGTGTCATGGAGCACTTGCACACTTGGTGCCACGCACCACAAGATGAATGTGCTCACGGCGCAGCTTAGTTTTCGGCCATCGTCGTGGCGCAAACTTCCTCGAAGAATCGTCAACGACGCGTGCAGAAACATCCATTCGTCGTCGCCGGCAGTCAGCGACGCGTGCCGTATTTGGTGAATGGCGGTTTGCCCCCTTCGATCGCACACTTCGGCAAGAACTAGATGCGATGAATACCCCCCCGTCTGGTCAACACGAAAAGTGTACCAAGGCATGCGTAGATCGTGATTTGCGACGGATGCTGGTCGGTTTGGAAGACAAGGAGTCGAACAAGTAGGGGAAGGATGGCACACGACAGGAGGGCATCCACACTGCCAGGGGCTGCGTACTTGACAAACGGGAGCAAGGCACCACAAGCAGAGGCCTAGGCGTCCGCGCTGTGACTTTGTATTCGATCCATGGAAATTGACGAATGTGCGTGCAAGGCCACGTACCTGCAAGATTGTGTCGTTGGGGAAGCGGCGCAGCGCCTCGGCGATCACGGTCACCGCGCCATTCTCGACCAAAATGTGATTGCTCTCCATACAAACGCAACAGAGCTTGCGCATGAGCACAAACCCGTACGACTGAACAACGGCAACGGTGGCTTTTGCCCGAAGCATCGCCATGACGGTGAGCTCGCCACACGCGCGGTGCATATTCACGGCGCCCTCTCGATTCCGCAACAGTTTGAGAAGGGCAGAGAACGCATTTTTCTAAACAAACACCGTCAGGGCCCACGGCTCGTTCAAACTGTCGCGCGGTGAGGGGGAGTGTGCACAGCACGCACCACATAAAGCCCCGTGACGTGATCGAGGCAAAGCGAGTTCAAAATGTCCTCGACGGTCGTGGCTGTGCAAGCGCCGTCAGTAGCCTTGGCCTCGTCGATAATCGAGTCGGCATTCATGCGAATTGGAGCCGTTGGTCATCAGGTGGCAGTCCAAGTGGCAAGCGCGGTTTCGCAAGTATATCGTTTTTTCACGCTATTTATAATCGGCGAGAGGAACTTGCCCTCTTCCTGTGACGTTTCGGGAAGCGTGGGGAAAAAGTAGCGGGGGCGATCTTGACACCGATCGCCCAAGAGCAAGAGACCGCCCTCCATTCCAATGCTAGTTCCAACTCACAGGAAGACGAGGGGGGATGCTTGCTCCGTTGGGAGACCCTTGGTTTGTTCTCGCAAAGGTGGTCGATTCGATCGTGGAGATGTCACACGTGCGATTCACGCTTCCCCCTCCTCCGGACCATCCACGGCAGCGTACAAAGACCACGATTTGGTCGCAGCATACGCGACGGATGGAGCACTGGAACAACCCAAACGGATGCCGAGCGCCTCGATTTCGACCGCGGCACTGGAAAAGTCAGCGACTCTACTAGTACACTGCACGACGTCCCACTCTCGCCACCATCTACATTTCCAACTGCAATGTGACACGTCAAGAAAGTTCACACCAAACCGTTCCAGACGAGTATTTTGAACAGCGTTTCGTTCCGAAAACGGCCCATCCCGACTGCGACGATGCGGGCAGCAGCCTGCGCAAGCCGCGACAAGGAACTCACTGGAGCGCCCCTCGTGCAACGAATCCTGTCGGCGTGGGGAGTTGGCGGCGGAAGCGTACAACAGGTGGCTTTACGGCGAACGAGGGATCGCACCTATTGGGAAGTTTTTACATGGATCAATTTATATCGACAGGAACATAGCTAATTTGAAAATGGCCCCATGGGACTGACTGGCCAGTACAGTTGGGATGGCACGTCAAAGAGTTCAGTGGGACGTCGCCTTTTGCAACGTGTATAGTCCACTAGTTGGGTCGTAGTAAAAGCGCAGGGCGGACGGATGGAGGGCATGGTATCCAGCCAGCGCACGCATCGAGTTGCCCCAGCCACCGCCTGCCCGCCGCGTACTGCACCAACCCTCCAGTCTAAAACCAGACCAGCTTTGTCCCACATTGGACCTGTATATATCGCAGCCGCCACTGCAACGTCGCGGTGATGTTTTTCCCACTATCGGTACTTGGGCGAAACCTTCGCCCGCGTGTTCTGATACGTTTAAACGTCGTTTCCCGGCGGTTTTTCCAGCACCTCTCGGGTCAAAAGCGCCCTTTACCGTGACGTTTTTCGACGCCAGCATCCGCCCGTTGGAGGTTTTTCCCAGTTCGTATTCCTGCATTCGACCGAAAGAGTACACTTGGCCCCGAGCGATCGACCTCGATGAGTGACCACGATGCCCGCCCCAAGGCCAAGAAGGACCAGCGGTACCGATGCTCGCTGTGCCACAAGTCGGGCCAGACGATCGGATACAACGCCGTGCACTGCCACTGGGACCGCATCCACAAAGACCACGGCCATCCATCGTCGCGAACATTTCGCGAGTTGCACATCGAAGTCGCGGCACCAGGGGTCATCGTCGACGGTGGACACGACGATCCGGAGAATGACACGGAAGACGAAGACGGCGGCACAGAAAGAACGAACCCGGCACCTGCCGACGACGCGACCCCTGTCCGCACAAAGGCGCCTGTCGTGAGGAAGAAGCGAGAAAAGAAGCGAGGCATCAACGAACTCTTGAACGAGCCGTCCAACAACTCGAGCGCCACGACTGCAGCTCCGATGCAGCAAACGACGGACACGTCGTCGAATTCCCGCCATAGTGCACACAACGACCAGGAGGCACATCATCCCCGTGGAACTTCGCCACGCCAGAGTCCGCACCCACACCAGCACCAAGATGCATGGGCCCGTGAGATGGAGCACCGCCGTCGCTTCGCCGTCACACAGTCGTCGCATCACCACCAAACATTCCACCCACCACTGCAACCTGCCCTGAGCAATGGCCATTCTTCCATCGGCACGGTGCATTCGCTTCCTCCTCCGTACGCACACCACCCGATGTACCAACACCCGCCAACCCGTCATCATTCTGACAACGAACAGTACCACCACGAAGACGAGCGACTCCGAGGCGTCGCGGCGGCGGCATTGGCGCAAGCATCGTCGTCGTCGGCGTACGCTGAGCCGATGCCCGACCCGTTAGACCCGCGCCACATGAAGCGAGAGACGCCAGGAATGAAGGGCCTTCTGAACGACGACACCCACCGCCACCAACATCTCGTTCAGCATGCCCATCAACACCACCACCATCCGCCATACCACTCGGCCGAAACAGTCCATGCGTCTCAATGGGAGCACGCGTTGGAGCGCCTGGGCCAGCGCCTCGTCCGCGCCGAAGAGACCATTATGCTGCTAACTCATCGCTGCAATCAGCTCTCGGACGCGAACCAGCATTTGGGCCAGCTCCTCTCGGGGGTCGATGCGAACTTGAGCAACCTGAACGGCATCGTCAACGACGTGGTAATGCGATCACGCCCCCCACCTTCAGCCGCCGCCACTCCCGACACGGCCACTACACCTCCGGTGTCGCCTGCAACAACGGGGGCCCCTGCAGCCGCCGCGGTCACCCTTGCTGGTTTGAATGTCCCCAGCCCCTCCCAGCCACCTCCCCAGTCTCAACAGTCCCCCGCGAAATCCGCGCTCGACGACCGACCTCACTATCGCGACTAAAGCGTAATACACTTCGATATGCACGCCGACGTGACGTTGCGCTGTGGGGCGTTCCGAGCGACGATTTCCCTGCCGTCGCCATGTCATGCGCCCAGCATCAGTCGACAGGATGTCGCTGAACTGTTTGCGGCTCCAACGGACGGAAGCGATCGCTGTGTGCGATGGTGGTCCTCCACACGTCGACAGCCCTCCGCTCCACAGGTGCGTGCATCCATCCTTCGCGACGCTGCTGCCCCAAGTCGTTGGAACGCCGAGTCTGGCGGGTGTGTGCGCGCGGTACTCCAGCGGCGCCGTCATTGGGGACGGCGTCGTCGAAATTTCGTCCCTCGCCCCCTTCGTGCAAGAATTCCCCACGTGTAAAATAGCAAATTGGATTGAGAGTATGCAGGGCGGGTTCAAAGATCTAGTCTTACACAACGTGCGCATTGGCGCTGGGCGACGCGACCAACTGATAGCTGCCTTGAAACGATTTCGCCATCGAGTTGGACCGCGACTGGCGCGCCGACCGCGATTGACGGCGGTTGCGGCTAAAGCTGCCGGGGGTGCGCGAGTGCCGCGACCCTCGCAGCCGGTCGCGACGCGCTTTGTCCTTCTTCATGTCGGTGCGTGTGCAAACGAGTCCGTTGGCGCGGTTCGACGCCATCACGACCAAAAACAGCGTGATCAAGCACAGCCCTGCCAACGCAAACAACCACAAGTACGCGTTCTTGGTAAAACTCGACACGCGAAGGGCGACGCTGCCGGCAGGGACGGCAAACCACAGACCAAACAACAGCGGCACGGCAAAGAATCGCGACTTGGCCGCAAACAAACCCGTCACGTTCACCCACACCGTCGACGAGATGCCGAGGCCCTTGATGAAGAACATCACGTACATAAACAACGACGTGATGAGCTTGCGGTTCTTGTTGGTTTCCAAAAACGGAGACACGTCGTCGGCGCCGAGCGCGCCGGCGCACAGCCCGACGCCGAGCAGCGTAAACGCGAGTAGGTTGCGGTGGGGCCACTTGTCCATGAGGAAAAAACTCACGAGCACGCCAGACGCTTCCACCACCAATGCGTTTGTAAAGACCAAGTTGTCGTCGGCAAAGGTCGTAAATGTGCGCGCGACAAACACATTGAGCGATCCCACCGACAGCGACGAAATGATCATGCACAACATCGACAGCGCCACCTTGTACGCCGACGACCCACCGTCATTGTCCTTCTTTGCGTGGGCTTGGTCTTCGCGGAGTTCGCGCAGTTCGGCGGCATTTTCCGGGCGTTGACGTAAAATGCTGAGCGCAGTCTCGCACTCTTCATAGCCCTTGCGCTCGAGCACCCATTGTGGCGATTCGGGAAACATGTTCATCAGCGGCGTGACAAGCGCCATGAGCAGCGCGCACCAAAATGATTGCCACACCCAACCGACAGCACCACCAGAATAATACGACGAGATGGCCGTGCCCACGACAAAGGCAAACGCAAACGGCAGCATCGTCTTGGAGCGCATGTCGTAGGTCGAGATTTCGTAAATATAGCACGACACGGCAGGCAGCATCATGCCCAACGACACAGACAAGAGCCCAATGCCACCAAACAACACGGCCGGCGACTGCGACCCAGTCTTGGGGGCCAACGACGGAATAAAACTCAGCGCCAAGCAGCCCAACACGCTCAGCACACCTGCAATGAGCACCGTCATGCGGTGACCCAAGGCGTAGCCCATAAAGCTAGTCAGGATCGACCCAACCACCGATCCAGCCAACGCAATGTACGACGTCAAGCCTTTTCCGGCCACCACCGACGTCAGCTTGTACGTTGTCAGGTAAATGCTGTAGCCAGGAGCCAAGTCCACCGACAAGAGCATGTAGTAGAGCCAGCCCGAGGCGACTCCGACCAACGCACCGAGGGCCGCGGCGAGGGAAAATGCATGTTGCGACGACGCAGACACCGCTTTCGAAAACCCTTCATTGAACATCATGCGCGTTTGGATCGCGTTCATGAACGGGATGCAACTGAGCACAAGCAGCGGTAGCAGCAGCAACGCGCCAAAGATGAAGTCGAAAAAGAACGCCAGTTGCGCGACCACCGCTACGTTGTGCACAGGCATGCCCTTAAAGTTGGCCACGCGAAGCATCTCGTTGATCCCGTACAAGGCGGCGCAGTACCCGTAAAACAAACACAAGCTATTGTCCCACGCCTCGTCGCTCTTCTTTGACTTGAACAGGACCAGATTCATCGCGACAAAGCTGCCCGCGACAAAAAGCAAGAGCAAAAACAGGTACAGCGCGGCACGACCCAAAAACGCCGCCTTGCGCAGCGCTAGCCCCAGCACGTGGAATACATACAGCACCACCAAGGTCGCCACCGCCGCCGCCAGCGTGAAGAGCACATACTTGGCTTCGAGACGGAGAGTGATAACGTACCACATGATCAGGAAATGGCGAGATTCGCGCAAGAGTACCGTGAGGCGCGCGATGCCTGTTGTGGCGTAGAACTGTTCTTGGTCACTCTTCCACCACGCAATCCACCCACCAGTGTGCACCTTGTCGGGGTCGGTCGCCTTTTCGTCCATAAACATCCACTTGCACCACGCCACAATGTCGGCCTTGGTCTTTTCATAGTCCAACCCGTCCGCGTTGAAAATGAACGGCGACAACAGCCACAGAATCGCAATCGACCAAATGGCAAACGTTTGCGTGCCGTACCCCTGCGCAGTGTCGCAAAACTTGGATGCAAACTGGTCGTCCGGACGGTTCGGGTCGGGCGTGCGGTTGCAAATGTTGAAGCTGCCATACGACAAGTAGAGCATGCACAGCCCAACCAACTCCCACGCTTTGCGGTAATGCGACGTCGAATATGCCTTGTACAGCAACACAAACGTCTCCCGCGTGATCTTGAACCCACGACCCGTTGCTTGGTACTTGGCATTGCCGTGCATGATGTTGTTGTCAAAGTAGTGCATCGTCGTGCCGACTTGAAACACGAAAAAAGCTGGACCGGCAGTCAAAATCATGTTCAGGAGCTTCGTCACACCCCCAATCAAGCCCAGTTCCGCAAAGTACACGACAATCAGCGGCAGCGTCAAAAACAGACCGGCCTGGATAATGTACTGCGTGTTCATGACGCTGTCCAGATCGTTGTACACACGCGTGTCAAAGCCGTGCTGGTACGCATTGAGCGAAATGACTTGGGTCGAGTTCATCTTTTCGACCACTTGCACTTGAACTCCCGAGAGCGCCAAGTACACCTTGGCGTAAATGTACACGTACGACGTCACAATCGTGAGCCACGTGGCAAAGTAAAACCCCGTGTGCGAATAGTACATCGACTTGAGGCGGAAAAAGTCCATAAAGGCGCCCATGCGGTACGCTTCGCGGGCCAGCGACGTCTCGCCGGCGCCGTTCGCCAACTTGCCCTCAAACATCGAAATTTGCGACATCGCGACATCGCGGCCCTTCCCGCACTGCATAAACTCGACGTGGGTGACGACGCCGCCACGCAACGTCGAGTTGAACCCGGCAAACACGTCTTCACTCAAGTTGATGCCCTTCGACGCTTTCGACACCCCACCGCGCGTGAGCACCATCACCTTGTCAAAGATATCGGGATGGCCGTAATGCATGCGCACATACAACGGATTCGCCAGCACGCGCTGACTCAGAGTCACAAACACGAGCTCCTGCCACGTCTTGAACTTGGCCAGCGACGACGCATTGCCCGTGAAAATATGCTCGCGCATCCCAATGATCGTCACAGGCAGTCTACTCGGATGTTGATCGGCCGTCACGAGGAGCTGTGGCATCTTCAAGCACTCTTCAAAGTAATGTTGTTGGTTCATGTCGATCGTTTGAACGTATTCGCCGCGCGTAAACGGGAGCGCATTGTTTTGGTTTTCCGGCTTGCCCTCGCCCAAAATCGGATCACCAGGCAGCTCCCACCGATACACCTCGGCAATCTCGTCGCCTTCCGACTTGATCAAGACTGTTTCGTATCGATTCGGCGCGCCGTTCGCGCCCGGAATTGTGTCCACGTACGCCACGCGCAAATTCGGATACGTTTGGAGCAAAAAGTCAATATCGTTCGCTTGGTCGGCATTTTCCGCGCGGTGCTTCCCATACACTTGACACGCACATACGTAGGAAAATTTGAGTCGGATCATATCTTCCAATTGCTGTTGTTTTTGCTCGGGCGTGCGGTTCGGGGACGACCCAATCTCGAGCCAGTGCAGGATTTTGATCGCGTCTTCATAGAGCATCATGCCTTGCACCGTGCGCGCCAGCGTTTGACCGCGATACGACGCCCACAAACGGAGTTCCATCGGGTACTCGTTGATCGCGGCATCGACCGTCGACACGTCAATGCGTTCCAGAAAATTTTCCCACTCTTCCGGGTGAATCGTGATCAAGTACTTTAGAATCGTAATCTTCTTGTCGATTTCCGATGCCTTGTTGAAAATCGGGTGGTTCTCCAGAGGGTTGTTGAGTTCGTCCAGCGAAAAGATCACCCCTTCGCTGTAAAACGGCGTCACGACAGAAAACGACCGCATGCTGCGAATCGCGCTCAACTGCGGAATCTCCATCAACAGCGACTGCATAAAGAAACCGAGGCGACGCTGCGCTTCGCCACACTTGGGCATGGCGTCTTGACGATCCAACGACATGAGCAAGTATGCGCGCGTGGCGGCACCCATGGCCGTGTCCGAGTGAAACAAATTTACCAACCCCTTGGCGGCATACGCATACGAGTTGGCCGGCGACACAAAGTTTACGTTTTGAAACTTGGCTGCCATGGCAGGTTGACGGCAAAAGAGGCGCAGCCCGTTCAACAAATTGTCCATCTTTGCGACAAAGTTGCGAATAACGCCCATGGGGTGCACCGTTGTCTTGAGGACGGGGCTGACCGAATCTGGGTCTGGCAAGTCGAGCACGGCTTCAAGAAAGTCAATGGCCATCGTGCGCACATGGAGAAGGGACCCAGCATCAAAGAGCGACAAGAATTGGCCATCGAGCGCAGCTTGCTCCATCAATCGGAATCCGTCCAACGTTTCTGTGTCGTCAGGGGCCAAGAGCGCTTCCAGCACGTACATCGACGCGTTGAAAAACGACTTGACAGCCCCGAGACAGTCGTTTTGGACCAACTGAATGCGCAGCTCCGAGTCGCCGCGACCAGCCTTGCCCAATTTGACCGCATACGCCATGCCTTCGTTCAACTTGCCCGCCGACAAAAACACCGGCTCAAACACTTCGCCCGTGTTTTGGATGTCGTATTGCAAAATCGCAGCTTCCTTGTCATCGACCAAATCGCCTTCGCGGAACGAGTTGACAATTTCGTTCCACACGACTACAAAACTACAACGCATCCAGTCGGCCATCTACCCAATATTTCAAACACGTACCGAAGCATCATTTGGGACTGGTACACCGCCGACTGGCTGCCGCGGCCATGCTCGTCGCCACCTTCGTTGGCATCAGCGAGGCGAGCGAGTTCCGTCACAACTTTTGTGTCAAACAACTGCGGCGCGACTCGGAAAGCTTTCGACAACGCGTCGACCCCGCGAACTTCGCCGACTTTCATCATCCAGCCCATGAACGCGCCAAGACCAGCTTGGAAAATGGTAAAGTAGATTTGCGTGTCGTAGTTGAAAATGAACACGACGGGGGCCCACAAGCTGACAATCACACCGAGGTTGTGGAACGACCCCAGCGATCCCTGGCCATACTTGAGCTCCATTTCCCAAATCGCTAGACTCGGCAACACGAGCGGACTCACAAGCACCCAGTATGACACGGCAGCCTTGCACACGAGCAGCACAAACCAAAACAAATAGTACTTGAGCTGGAATGCAAGCGGCGGTGCCATGTGACGACCTGTGTAGCAGCTGTCACCCTCACGAATGAACTTTGAAAACCACGATCGGCCAGTGCCAGGGAAAAACGTCTGCAGGACCAAGATAATTGCCCCTGGAACAAGGTACACGAGCGCCGCAACACTGAGTAAGTTGAGCAAGTCAAATCCACCCGACGACTTGGGCGCGCCAAGCGAAAACATGAGGGCAAACGCACCCGTAAACACAAGGTTCCACACGAGTCGCAGCGTCAGCGCCAGCCCATACGTCATGGAACGCGACGAAGTCGACGCCTTCGACTTGGGGTCCGTGAGCAACTGAAAGCCATGGCCAACTTCGAGGAAGCACTTGAACAGGTTTAAAAACGCATGCGACCCGATGAGCACGGCCCACGCTTTGTTCAGATCGCGCTTTGTGTACGGTGCAATGACGGTCCCAATCTTGCTGAACTGGTTCAACCCGGTCTTGCCACCGTTCGGACTGACCGTGACGGCGTAGTTGAGCACGGCCAACACGATCAAAAACATGAAGTTGAAGTGGAAGATGCGGTAGTAGTTGAGCACGAGTGTGAAGATGCTTCGGTGTTCGTAAAACGTCTTCCCAGCAGTCGAATGCAGCGCGCCACCAATTTTGTCGATGGGTATCTTGAGGCACCCAGACCGCCAAAAGAATTCGTTCAAGTCGTCGTAGTTGCGAACTTTGGTATGCTCCAAGTGCTTCCCGAGCGCATTCTTCTTTTGCATCACCGACGCTTCTTTCCATACAGGACGCAGCACTGCGTTGAGAAACCAGCCTGCAGGACGTCCTTCCGAATGTAGAGCTTCCTTGATGAGCGTCGACATCATTTGATGGTACAAGTAGCACAGACATTCCGGCATGTGACGCAAGTTGGCCGACTCACCCCAGATCAAAAAGTACAGCATCAAGTCCATGTGCAAAACAGACGTGAGCGGCGTCCCTCCTTGAGTTTGCGCGTACGCGACGGGCTTCGCACCGACAAACGCGCACCATTCCTTGTAGTTACCGAATAGTTTATCGTGCAGTAGTCGCACATGATGTGTCGTGTTGTCGGTGCTGCCTGAATTCGCACGAGCTGCGCAGTTTGCCAACAGGAGTAAGACGTGTTCGCGCTGATTGTCGACCGACCCTTGTTGGAACCCGAACTTTGCTTGAAGGATTTCGCAACAGTAGTCGATCGACGGCTCATCCTGAAAGGCAGCTTGCTTTCCTGGGAGCACGTTCATCATGGACAAGCGTTGGCTAAATCGGTTGTCCGCATCCATCATTGAGCTTTGACGCTTCATGTCGGATTCCAAATTAAAGTAGTTTTTCGACGCCTGCTTGTGAACGGACCGACGAACAGTCATGTCCCCGGTCGACGACGGCGGGGGGGTGGACGCATCCTTCGACGAAGGAGGACGCGACTTCATCCGATGCGTGTGTGTGACGTAGAGCAAGAAGGTCGAGACGAGGGCGGAGGCTTCGCTGCGCAGCCGATGCTGCCTCTTGCTCCAGTTCGGGCAATATTCGCACTTGACCGATCTCGCTTGAGGCGACGGTTCCAGCACAAGTGGTATACATTTATCAAGATAAACGGACGGCGTGCAGTCACCCCGCCTTCAATTTGGAGAGTTCGGCAGTTATACTTGAACTTTGTATTGGCGCCCCGAAAAATACGGGGATGGAACCTTTGCACTTGAAATTTGTATACAACCACCAACGTACCGGCGCCCCGAGCAAGCTGGGCAGGATGACACCCCGACCCAGTCGCAATAGGGATACGACCACGTGTTTGCCCGTCGTCACCACGACGATGTTGGGTGCGCTTTCTGGTCATGAGGAATGCATGATGTCCACGCTGACATATCGGTTTGAATGCGGTCTGTGCATCTTGGACTCTCATGTACGCGGCAGTGCAGCCGGCGCTTTGGTATATGTATGACGCCACAGAGAGGAAGAGCAGAATGCTATAGTGCCGTTGGCTTGTTGAGGCCGTTAAACCAGGTCATGATGCATAGTTCGGTCGTCCGAGCGACGAGTTGTTCTGGAGAATTATCGGTCGCTTGTCCTACATACATAAATCAAGATCTATTTTTCAATGGTGTACGCTGGCGCCTCGCAGTAATCAACGTTCAGATTTGTAACATCACTGCTCCGCCAGGTGCAATATCCAGCGGTCTCGCTCGCGACGGCGCAGCAGGCATATCACCTCCGGTCGTGCTTTCGAATTGTGGCGCGGTTAGCCAAGACGTCCCAGGGATGCTCCATTCGACGCGAGAGTTCCCCGACTGTCGTGCCGTCGACCGACGCATTACAATAGATCGAGGTCGATTCATGGATAAAGAGATATCGGACGGTGCCATTGTAATGGATGAATTATCCGGATATATCCCTTTTGAACCCGCCAATGAGCACGAGGACGGCGGTGCGCTGGATTGGCGACGGGAATGGGTCGGGGTGAGTACTACAAGAACAAGTACGGCCGCGGCGGTGGTCGAAGGCATGGAAACGAACCATCTCGACACAGGGACGCGCGCTCGCGATCGCGAGAAAGGTTGCCGGAGCAAAACCATCCAGCTCGTTCGTGGGGATCGCTTGTCACAACGCTCGAATCTCTTGAAGGCCAGAGCTACGGCAGCTACAACCTGCTCCGGGGGCAGACGTATCGTCATGAGGAGCACCCTACATTCACGTTGGCAGCAGATTCCATTCAAGGAGACGCATATGCTGCCCCTTCGCGCTTTCACGTCGTGCTCGATGCTGTCAGTGCACGTTATCCGACTGACATGTTGTCGACAAAGGGACGTCGTATTGGTGTGGGAGACTTCCTCGCCAGGCGATTCGTACAAGCCACGCGAGCTCGCGGCGCCGACGCTCGATTGGGAGGACGTGGGTGGCACGGGGCCAAAGGTGGCGACCTTGCCATGGACAGCCCTTCCCAGTATGTGCTCGACCGCACAAACGTGATCGTGGCCGCCGATGGGTCCATCGAGGCACGGTTCACCGTAGGATTACCAGCTCGTGGACGAACAATTTGTGGAGATTTTGCAGCGAACATTCTCACGGAAGTCGTGCCAGCGCTTGTACAAGAAGCTTTGGTCAGTCCTGTGAGGCTCGCAGAGTTGTGGGAACACGTTAAGTGTGTTGAAGATCAAGCAGCTCTCCGTGACATGCTTGCCGGCCAGGGACTTGTAGCTTTTGTAGCCGATGGATCCATCTTGCCTCGGCAGGTACACCTCCTTTTAGCACGCGTCGAAGCACTAACTCGCTTGTCTTGTCTCTAATGCCAGAGCGGTGCGGAGGATTCGCCAATGCCGACGCCACCTGCGCTGCCCTTTCATGCACCCCGGACCTCCCCCTTACGCCGAACGTTCACCTTGCCGCATCGTGGCGAAATCTCGGGGCTGGGCATTCCACCGGGCATCACACTGTTGGTGGGGGGAGGGTACCATGGAAAGTCGACGGTGCTGCAGGCGCTCGAAAGCGGCGTGTTCAACGTCATTCGAGGCGACGGGCGAGAGTTCGTAGCGACGGATGCCAACGCAGTCAAGATCCGGGCGGAGGACGGGCGGAGCGTCGGCGGGTGCAATGTGAGCCCATTCATTGGCAACTTGCCGTCGCGCATGTCCACTCAACGATTTACGTCTGGGAACGCGTCAGGGAGTACGTCGCAGGCCGCCAACATCATGGAAGCGATCGAGGTATGCCGGTTGAAAACGCATGCGGCTTGTCGCCCAGGGTCTGGATCGTAGGTGGGAGCCACCACGCTCCTCATGGACGAAGACACGTGTGCAACCAACTTTATGACGCGAGATCGGTAACTTGACTTTGAGATGTTCCGCTTGAAGTGACGACGCAACGACGCTAGCAAGATGCAGCAACTGGTCGCGGCGGACAAGGAGCCCATTACGCCATTCATCACCAAGGTCTGCGCGAACGCGCGCATCCTTGCTAACATGGGCACACTAGGCCCGAGCGCTGTTCGAAGTCCATGGCGTTTCAAGCGTGATCGTAGTTGGGGCACTGGGGGATTACTTTTCAATCGCGGACACGGTCATCCTCATGGATACCTTTCAACCCAAGGTTGGTGGCCCGTGAGCTTCCGTTGTCAGGTATTTGGAAGGAAGGTCGACCCGATTGTAGGACGTCACCGAGCCAGCAAAGGCCATTGCAGCACAGCACGCACCGATTGAACAAGACCCGACGTTTCTGCCGTGCTCGGCGGCAGCTCGCATTCCTGATCCGCGAGGGTTTCAGCTTGATTCGCGCCACGTGCGATGCAGCGGCACCAAAAAGATTCAATACGGTGACGTCGATATCGACTTGACGGCCGTGGGCCATTTGGTGGAGCCAGGGCAAGTGCGGGCGATCGCCCATGTCCTTCGTGGCAACTTGGCCAGCGACAAGCCTAGTCACTGCTCCATTGCGGTAAAGACCCTTTGAACGATGAGCCTCGGGAATCACGCTGGTTTGCCATGGTCGTGCAGGCTCTCCTAGACAGTGTGGAAGCCGCTTTGGACGACAGTTTGGATCGAATCAAAGGCGACTCTCGATGCGGGCTGTACGCGCGCCCAAGGCGATTTGAGGTAATTGGTCCAACGTTCTCTTTGGGCCTCAAATTTTGCACATTGCTAGATTGCTGCTGCGATAAATCGCCTTCGGTCCGTCACATGGAGTGACGCATAGGTTTTCGCGTAGCAATGATCCATCGCCATCGCGAACGTTGTGTGCGGCTCAAAGAAAATTGTGTCAATGCATGATGAGTGGAACGTCGCCACTCTGTATTTTCACTTTGCATGGCTCCATGACAACGAAGGAGCGCGCGGATGCCAGCCGCTCTTTGACGAGATCCAGAGGGCGGGCGGGCGCTCGCCGACCTCATTCGAAAGTGCGCCGTATCCGGTAATGTAGTCATTCGGTTTTTCTCCATACAAAAGCCAAGATACATTCACTTGTCGGACGAAACCGAATGTATGTCATCACTCCACTTTCACCGACATATTTCGTGCAAGAACGATTCTTTGATGTGTTTGATTGGCTCAAAATCGAGCAATATTATGGCCAATCAGATCGAGAAAATTTGTCAGTGTGCGAAACACCCCCCCAACAACACTGAACATTCAGTCATTGAACGACCGCCATGGCGCACCACAACGCGTTGCCAACCATCTCGTTCTGCGAAGACACGCTCCGGCTGCACAAATTCCCACAGCACCACGTGGACAAGATCATGAGCGCTGCCGCCAAGGCGTGGTCGGGGTGGACCACGAAGGAAGGCCTAACGAACATCAGGTTTGGTCCCGGCACTCCTTTCTCGTCGCCTTCTGGGGAAGTCACCGTGCAGGCGCGACTGTTCATGGCGAGATTGCTCAAAGCATTGCTCCGCGAAGGCTACTATTTGTACACGTCATCCTGCGTGACTGCGGGCGACATGGACACGATGTACTTTGAACGACGCGCGCCTTGGACCCATCCAGAGGTATTCGCCATATCCGTGCACGAACACGACGTCCTGCGCGTGATCGGCGCTCCACCAAACGTCGTTGACAGGGTCACGTCCTGTATCCTCCATGCCTATCACCACGACAACGTCCACGTATCGATTTACGGCAGCCAAAACGGTGGGTGCACGCAGTTCAAGCTCATGGGGAGTCCGTGGAGTTCGAATCGGTCGTCACGGGGGCACGTGCTGCTGTCGCATGTATTTGGTTCCCTGGCGGCCGCTGACTGGAGGATATACGCGTCGATCCAGCTATCCCACAAGTCCACCACCAAGGACACGTGGTTCTTCTGCCTCGAGCCACTCGCAGAGCTCGTGCAGGCCATGCCCATCACGGAAGAGACATCGTAGGTGCAATACAAACAAGTTGTCGTGGTGGTCTCTGGTGCTTGGATATCAACGTTCTGCACATCCTCGGCCCGCACTCGGCATGAATCAACCGTGAACTACCAAGCACCTCTAAGGATTGGCGTCTGCAGCGCCACAGCATGGCGGCGTTGTCAAAACAGCAATGCGGAACGACTTGATCCGTCATCTCTTGGCACATGGTGTACAAAGGGTCGACCCACCCGACGACAAGAACGACGTGTAGCTCGTGGTGGAGCCACCGGTGGGCATCCTGCACTTTAGCCAAAGCGCTCACATGCTCGGCTTCGATCGGCAAGGTCATGATTCCGCAGATCCAGTTCGTGGGCGGCCCATGGGTTTCTGCTTTCGCCTCTGTTGTCTCACCGACTCCAAACACCACGTCTACCAAGCTCATCTCTTGAGTTGTGCACGTCTCATCACCACCAATGCGTGCCACATGAAGCATACCAGAGCTGTGTGGTATGGCTTCGCTTCGTTCGCACAACGATGTCGTGCTGCCAGCCACGATATTCTCCCGTGGCGGCCTTCGTGAGCTCAAGTCGCAACGTGTTAATAAATCCTATGGTTAACCTAACGTGTGCCGCCGGGCCCCTGGTATTCTGTTGGAGGTGTCGATCGACGGGCGTTGGTGGAGTCCTTCCATGGGAAATCCGAGCGCCGCCCCGACACTCGCGCCACATCGCGTGGTTTCGCTGCCTAGGTGCTGGAGCATAAACTTCGTTTGGCTAGGGGTGGCCGCCCCATTCACCGCGTCGTCAAAGGAGGCGCGTCTGTGCGTCAAGTGTGAGCATCGCAGCCCACCACTTGCAAAGACATCACATACCTGTGCTGAACGTCAAAGCCATCCATCGTCACATCCATGACGTCGTCGTCTTCGTCAGTGTGGTGGTAATGGTGAATGATCTGCGGGGATTCGACAAAATGGACGCGCTTGTTGTCATAAGTGAGGAAAACGTGGTCCGTCGCGGGGGCAGCGGACGTTGGCCGGGTCCGCTTTCTCGACTGGGCGAAGGATGCCGCCGTTCCGTGGTGCGGCCCCACAGTCGTCGGTAAGCCTGCGGGGTCGCATTCCGACACAACCATGTCGTCGTCGGCAGCGGACGGGACGGCGGAAACGGATCCGTTCGTCACGTCGTTGTCTTCTTCTTGTGCATCTTCGCTCGTGTCCATCGAATGCGACGCAATGCGATTCGAGTCTACAAGCATCCGCGCTTGTGATTTGCCGACGCGAGAGGAAATGTATGGCGTACTGTGCGGCCACGGGTTGGTTGGTATCGACGGGTGGCAGAATGGAGCGTCGAGCCGATAGGATAGAAATCGATTCAGCAGGGTATTCGTTTGCAGTTCCCGCTCGTCTGGCTGGAGGCCGATCGTGGTTTGAACGCGGTGCTCAATCTGCTGTCGCGACTCGTACGACTTGAACCGGTACGTCCTCGACGACACGCCAAATCTTTGGGGGACATCCATCAGCACTTGTGAAAGTAATTGAACAAGCATCAACGCACCGGAGGTGGGTTCCATGGGACAGGAGGGTCGGTCGAAGTGGCTCGAGCTTTTCACCGTCCATGAACGTTCCATGGCACGACCCGAGGTCAATCAAGTACATGGCGCCATCGACGTGGTGGACCAGTGCGGCGTGCATTCTGTGGTACACGATCAACACGCGTCCGATGTGGTCGACAACATACCGTGAGATCGAACAATGCTCCAGCACAATGTCGCACACGAGCGCATTGCGTCCAAAGAGGAAGCACGCTTTCGAATCGACGTTGATGCTCGTGATGACTTCGTTCGCTTTGAACACGTCGACGAGTGCAATTGCGAGCGGTTTGTGCGGGGCGGCCCACACCGGGGGTTGGAACGGGATCGTTGGTTTGCCCACGCGTTCGAGGTACCGACTGCTGTTCTTGAACAAGCCGAGGTCGAGGCGCGGGAGATGCAGCGACTCCATATGCGTCTGCATGGCACTGGGTTTCCTCGATCAATTGGCGAAAGGTGTCAATGACCAGCCAGGACCTGCGAGTCAGCGATGCCACTGCAGAATCCGTCGCACGCGGGTGCGGTTGCCAATTTGGCCAAGTTGGTGTGTAACGGGCTGATATGAGCCAGCTCCTTCGAAATTCGATTCACCACCAATCCAAGTGCGGACCAGGCGAAGTTCGAGGCTCCCACCGCCCCCGCTACACACTGCCGCCGTCGCTATTTTTATCAAAGTGTATACAAATACCAAATGAAACTGTCACCGTTCCAATTTCCCATGCAAATAATTACACCTTCCGGATGGTTCGCCGAATGTCCGGATAACACCTATCGCACCCGAGCAGTTACATTGCTCTAGCTTACGCATCACCACCGACCCAACGTCTACAACGTCATGCGATTCGGAGGGGCGAGGGCCACGTCGGACGCTTGACGCGGCCGTCAGCCTTGGTCAGCGACGACCTGCCTTGCAACCGGACTGCAGCTGCTACATGGGAGGAACGACGACACGCGGCTACTCCACTGTACGCTGCACTGGGACGCACGCAGGGATCTTCTCTGTACATGTACTGCGCCGCCTCCGCCCCTCGTCGTCCTCGTCATAACTTGCATGAGGTCCCCGCCTTGCTAGACAGGCACAAACCCTTGTGATGCATCCCTGTAACTTTGTGTGGTTGGTTTACCCATTCCATTTATCCCCCCTCGAGATGAGGGAGTCAAATGGCATTGTCTCATTGGTTAAAAAGGTGCAAATTTGGCACCTCATGCATGAGTGCGAGATCGAAGCCACGAGCACGCAGAGTTGCAACGGCATCGACGGAGCTGAAGCATCGAGGTGGAAAGCACTGCCGCGCGTACCAACGCAGCGCACGACCGACACATGCTTCCCACTTGTGACCACGACCAAGATGGGACATCTCAAATTCGTTTGCTTTTTGGCCAATCAGGTGGGTCGTGACGCCATGGCTTATAACAGTCAGTTGATGGAAATCCAAAAGAAAGTCATTTGATTTTGCCAGGAACTGAGTGAGTCGTCGTAAGGAGGAGCGTGCCGCCCGAGTGTCCGTGAACGTCCACGGTTGCCGCCGCCTTATCCCTGTACAATACTATCTATACGAGGACGAACCCACGAACCTCCCCCCTCCATGGACAAGCAGCGACGTCAACACCACCTTCGGTTGGATGGCGACGAGACAGGCTTCCAGGCGTCGTCCACGCGATCCGGTGGACCATCGAGTGCAGCCCCCAAGCCGTCGCTGTTCTACCGCGATCTCAACTTCTTTGACAGGTACGGTATCGTTATGCGCTGCACCTTGCCTTGATGATGGCGCAATGGACGAGTAGGTCTGTATCGACGACGTCACCATCCTTGCACCCTGCGCAAACCTCGTCGTCGGACCCTCAGACGCACATAGTACGTACCTTTCCCCTATGCTCATTCAGATGACACGGTTGCTCGTGATCTTGCAGGACTCGTCGATGCTGTATTACGACCACCCGGCCTCGTTTCCGTCGACAAACGTTGGGACGCCAGTATTTCCCAATCGTCGGCGAAAGAATAGCATTGAAATGTTTCTCTCTCGGAGCCCCAGTCAGCATCTCGGTAGCGATTTCTTCAAGCTCGCGATGGACGACCCGTCCGACTTTTCCCTCGACGACACCTCGAATGAGGGGCCATCCGTTGCCCGCCCCATGCACAAACAACCACAGCTCAACCAACCCATGCTTCAACCGCCACCTCCCCGCTTTGCATCTTCCCGACACACATACGACCACGACGATCCTGCACCAGCTCCATCATGGTACAATCACCCGGACGGCTTGGCATCCCATGCATCGCATGCACCACCATCTCGTCACCGCCGCCAAGACTCCGACGACGAAGACAGCTCCATGTATTGTCACATCCGGTCGTCCAAACCGTCACGCGTTGTCGCGTCCATGCCACGGCAGCAGCACGACAGCATGCGGCAAGATGTGCATCCGTTGGCGTCGTGGCAACACACTTCCCCGGGTGCTGCTTCGTATGGTCGCCCCATTCCTTCTGCGGCAAACTCTTCTCGGCGCTTTCTGATGTCCCCCGACCTACGAAGCAACAACCACAGCGGGCCGACGATGTTGAAGCCATGTAAATTTTTCGCCCAGGGCCACTGCCGCATGGGCAACAAGTGCAAGTTTGCCCACATGCATTCCACAACTGCCATGCATTCCCAACCAAGTGGCGGGCCAGGGTCAGCTTCCTCGAGCTTTGACGAGAGCGACTTTCATCCGTTTGGATATGTGCCGTCGCCTGAGCCATCCCCATTTCCGTCGATTCTGTCGCTCGACGATCTGCGCGGTCGGGTGTTTGCCATGGTACAGCCTCCCCTGTGCATCGTCCGTTGGTTTTTGTGGTTTCATGACGTGTTGTGCCATGTAGAGCAAAGACCAGAACGGATGCCGCCTCTTGCAAGAACAACTCGACAACTCAGTTGACCAAGTGCATCATCCCCGGACAGCGACGGACCTGTGCGACGTCATTTACACGGAATCGCTACCGCACTTGGTGGACATGATGGTGTGTATATCTCGCCAGAGGTGCCATCTCATGGACTCGACCGCGCTCGTGTAGGTGGACCCGTTTGGCAATTATTTGTTTCAAAAACTCCTCGAGTGTGGCACGGAATCCCAGCGGTTTGCCATTGTCCAGCAGGTGGCGCACCACTTGGTGGCGGCTGCGCTCAACCTTCATGGCACGCGGTCTGTGCAAAAAGTAGTGGAAATTTGCAGCTCGTCGTCCATGCCGCAGCTCGTGGAGCTTATTGTAGACGCCCTCAAGGACGACGCCGTTCGATTGTGCATCGACTCGAACGGGAATCACGTGATCCAGCGTGCGCTTCAGTACATGCCAGCCACGTACAACCAATTTGTGTTTGATGCAGTGTCTGCCGAGTGCACGGTGGTGGGCACTCATCGCCACGGGTGTTGTGTTTTGCAGCGGTGCGTGGACGCTGCCAACCCAGCGCAGCGACGCGAAGTGATTGCGCAAGTCGAGAAGCACGCGATGAAGTTGATGCAAGATCCGTATGGGAATTACGTTGTCCAGTATGTGTTGGATGCGTGCTCGACCGCGGACGTCGTGGGGGTCATGACCAAGTGTGTGGGCCACGTCCTCGAGCTGTCGATTCAAAAGTTTAGCTCGAACGTGATCGAAAAGTGCCTCGAACTCGCCCCAGACTACCTCTGCCAGACATTTGTGCGAGAAATCATTGCATCCCCTCGCATGCACCGCATGCTTCAAGACCAGTACGCCAACTACGTTGTCCAGCGAGCGCTGTCGGTGGCGTCGGATGAAAACTGCCTCGATCTTGTCACGGCGATGAGGCCCCACTTGACTAGCATGAAAAACACCCAGGGTGGCCGCCGCATCCAAGCTCGCATCCTCAAGCGGTTCCCCCACTTGGATGTCGGTTGGGACCCTGACTTTGCCGACCTCGCGGCGGGGTCGCCGGCCACTGGCCCTCGACAACCTTCCATCCCGCACCACTCTGGAGGAAGCTATGGTCGGGTTGCGTAGATGTAAAGTATGTACCATCAAGACGACTACTACTTGTGCCTCGTCCCGACTCGGTAGATTCAACGTGTCGGTTGGTGTTGTGTGTCGGAAGGGGGCATGTCGTCGACCTGTGGCCGCCGGCCCTTCATCTCGGCGACGAATACGTTGACATGTATCGAGTGCATCGATGTCGTTGACTTTGGTATGCAAGTCGATTCTAGATCGATCGAGGGAGCTCTCACTTAAGTGATCTGTGGAGCTTCTGCACCAGGCCGACCAGAACCGAGTTTCCACCTACGATGCAAACCATTCAAGATGTGACGGCGCCTGATGGACGATATAAACGTACCTAGAGCATTGATCTTGTCGAGAATGCTTTGGTACAAGGCGTCCAAGAATGCCTTGGTGTGGGAGAACGCGCCAACTTGGGCCATGTACTCGACGGCGTGCTGTTTGATCTTGACGTTGGTCGTTCGCTGCTTGAGGATGTTCATGAGTCGCGTGTCGTGTGTGTTGGCGTGGATGGCAAAGATGAGCGGGAACGAAAACTTGCCCTCGGTCAAGTCTTCGCAAAAGCTCTTGCCTTCCATGTAAGCGTCGTCGACCAAGTTGATGTAGTCGTCTCGGATTTGAAAGTACAGCCCCAGTTCGTTCACGAGCGGCACATAGTCTTGGTCATTCGTGCTAAAGGCTTGCATGAGGCCCACCGCCAGTCGAAAGAGACCGCCCGTTTCTAGTCATGCATTGAGGTCTTTCGTGACTGTGGAGGTACGTACTGTTGATCACCATGGCCTTGTACGCTTCTTCGCTCGGACAAGTTGCTGTATCGCGCCAGAGAATGTCCTGACCCTGACCCCGATGCAAGTGTATCATTTCACTGATGTAGACGTCCATCGCTCGTGCGTTTTGCAGCGAATGGCATTTCTGGAGTGCAACAAAGAACACGAAGTTTGCACAGTTGATCGTCAGCGGGACGCCGTAGATTGCATGCGCCACGGGTAGACCACGCCGCAGCTCTGAGTTGTCTTCAATATCGTCAATCAGCAACGACGCATCATGCAGACTTCCGATGATTTCCTTGATCGTCGTGATGTTGTCCGGAGGAATTTGGAGCCACAACTGAAACGCATCAACCAAGATCGCACGGACGTTCTTTTGCGGCATACCCCGGATATAATTCCACGGCTCGAGCAGCACCTAGATGCATAAAGGGTCAGACGCCTTGGACGCGGGACAATGACATATCGAACATGATCGCCGTCTGGCTCCATCTCGTAGCGCCAAAATCCAAGTTTGATGTCGCCGACGAATTCGAATTTCTTTGAGAAATATGGCATTTGACAGGAAAACCCTTGGGCATCTGATCGGTTTCGCAGCATTGATTGGTCAAATGATTGAATTTGATTGGCTTGATTTCGAATAGATATACAATTTTAGCGAATGAAGTTGATTCCATTTCATTCGAAGTGTCGCGTTGTGATTGGGCAAATGACGATCTTGAAGCGTCGTGCTGGCCGCCCACAGTCAAAGCTCCTGGCATTGTACAAACGTGGCCGGAGAAGACGCTTTTCGTGTGTACGTAGCGGTAGCAGGCTCGGCGCTCAGTTGGAGCCCCGACATGGCACACACAATTCGACGAAAGAAGTGACTGTCGATCTCAAACTGGGTGGAAGATCGGACACAGCCCACCTCAAACTCGATTTTTCCCAACGGGTAAGTCCGCCCTCGGCACTGCTCTCTAGTTGGTATCAATACTTTTCATACGGTTTACATCATGATCTTGATGGCTCTATATCTTTCGCTTGATAAAGTCATTCTTGTAATGCAGCATCATGTTGCATCATTGCCATTGTACATACGTTACCATAGTACATATGTAGTAGTGCAGTTATGCATGTGATATTGGACTCCAAGCACCGTGGAAATCCCGAATCCATTTCATACATGATCAAGACAATAGTTTTCGTATCTTTCAGTGGTATTCGTACACTACGATGGCGTGTTGGCAATGACCATGTTCATTCGCTTGGTATCAACTTTTAAACGTTCACGGCAGGCGCATGGTCCAATATCTCGTGCTCTCGTCCTCGCATTCCTTCGACGGACGAAGGAAGGTTGGAATCTCGATCGGATTCCGATCAGGTCCTGGACGAGTGGTTGATGCATTGTCGCGTTGATTTTCTTGGCCGTGGGAATGGGTTCCATGTGCATTGTCATAAGGTACAATGAATGGTCGGATTGGATGAAATTCCCGGCAATGGTTCCTCCAACATGTCGAGATACGTTGCTCATGCCAAACTCTTCTTCGTTGACAAGAAAGCGATGACGTGCTCGGCCATGCATGGTATTTTCTTGAATGTACGACGCGTCATTTCCGAGAGATAGATGACGCGTTGGAATACGTTTACCGGTTGGGCACTCCATTTTTCACGAGTTTTGACATCACGGACGAGAATCGAGTCTTCATGATGGAGTGCGCCTCGTGGGCGGCGCCCGGCACTTGGCCCGAAGGCAGTAGTTTGAATTGGAATGTCCAGAATGCATAAAAGACAAACGTGGATCATCCTACTAGCATGGCTAGCAGGATCGTTCGTGAACTGTAAAAATCTTGCGACTTTTTTCGCGAGAGGTCCGAATGCCACGTCACGACGCAGGGATGGCGGATCCGTCGCAACCTGTGGAAGAAACGTGTACCGAATGCGATGGTGGCAAGTTACGGCCTGTGGGGTGTCGAATGGCCGTATAAGCGCCTGTTGCAACGAAGTGCTTGCATGTTCAGGCCGTTAAAATGGGTCGTGGTTCCATGCAGGGCCATTGTTTGTGCTGACACTGAGCGAGCATAAACGTCGATTTCGCCACACCGACATCAAGAGCCAACGTCGTGCAGCATTCGCCACTACGGCGAATCGGTGTCACAACTATCATGCTACGTTGCACAATTATGTCGTAGCAGCCATGCATTCGGTTTAGTTAGCTATGGAAACGTCACACACTTGACCGAAAGGCGCGTCCCTTAGTTCGCCGCACCAAACATCTCGTGCAGTTGCCTGGTCTGGACATGGTACCCTCGAGCCAAAAAAACAAACTACCTCGTGTATTCTGGAACCCCTGCTTGAATTGCCGCCGTGGACGCGGCCCACACTCACCGAGGGCACACTTCTGCTACCAACCACCACCACCCGATCCTCACAACGTGCACACGGAAGTAGTGACCATCAAGGTCACTACTTGCGTGTTCACGTTGTGAACAGGGGCGAGACAAGTCCGAAACTGCGATTTCAAATCCAGGACAATCCGAAATATACAAACGTAACATCACGCTATTTAAAATCGAATTCTATATTTTCACTAGGTCATAGTATCCAATGATCGATTTATTAAAATTGCATTCGAGGTGAAAAAAGTCGACTGGACATCTCGGTCCAAACTATTTTGACTTGCATGTGACTAGTACCATGGTCGACATTGAACGTGGCTCAGACTCGTGACCGAGCGGCATGGCAGCACCCACAACAACACAGCGCACTTTCGGATCACTCTTCACGACCAGAAGCGACAGGACTCTATGGCGGCCAAGGATTCCAGCTCCGACAAGAGCGACTCAACGTACCAGGTGCTCGCTTCTCCTGTTGTGAAGAATGACCCGTGCGCCGTGCCGTGGAGCCACCGGCCGCACCCTTTCGTCACGTCAAACTGGCTAAGCCAAGCGCTACTGCTTTGGCTTGATCCACTTGTCTTGAAAGGAGCCAAGACGCCGCTCACGGAGGACGACGTTTGGCAGCTGGCGCCCGCTGACACTGCCGCACACCTTCAAGCGAGGTTCCAAGTTGCATGGGCCGTGGAAATCAAGACCGCGTCGCCATCGTTTCTCCGCGCGCTCGTGCGAACGTTTCGTCGTGAGATTGGTATCGTGATGGGACTGTACACGCTCAGCTGCGCGCTGATCCTCGCGCAGCCGATCGTGATCAAGTCCCTTCTCCAGTTCCTCGCGAATCCGTCGTCTGCCGCTCCGGCCGTGACCGACCTTGGCACCTCGAATGGATACAACCTGGCCACACTCTTGACAGGGATGTCGTTTGTCTCCGTGACCCTCATGGATCTCGGGATGGTGTTTGCAGGAAGGCTCGGGTGCAATGCCAAGGCCATCGTGATGGACTTGGTCTTTCTCAAAACTCTGTCGGGCGAGGCGAAGCCGACGTCGTCTGGCGACTTGGCCACATTGGCATCAGTCGACTCGACGGGCCTCTTTATGTGTGGCCTTTGGTTCATGTGGACGGCGTTGTCGCCGCTGATGGTGCTCGCGATCTTCGTCATGATTGGCTTTGACCTGGGCGCGTGGCCCGCCGTCGTAGGCGGCGTCGTCATGCTCGCACTCATGGCGTTTGGTATCTCGGAAGGCAGAGCAGTGGGAGCGATACAAAAGGATGCGCTGGTTGTTCAAGGCGAACGTGTCAAGTTCACCAACCAACTTCTCCACGGCGTTCGGACGGTCAAAATGTACGGCTGGGAAGCGCCGTTGCAAGCTCACGTCGACGCCATTCGAGCCACGGAACTCAAGTTGCTCAAGTCGTACCATATCCGCCGCCAAGTGTCGTCGATTGTGCTCTTGGTGGCGCCTGTCATGTCGCTCGCCCTCTGCCTCGTTGTGTTTGTAGCCCAAGGGCACAAGTTGACGCCGCCACTGGTTTTCGCCACGCTTGCCTTCATGAATGCTGCTCGAACTCCGTGCAGTTCGTTCTCGTTTTCAATCATGAATCTGTTCGGCGCGATCAACTCATGCCACCGCGTCGATGCCTTTTTAGCAGCCGACGCTGTGCCGTCCAAGCCACCGTCTCAGACATTCTCCCACGATTCAAATGTCGTCATGCTGGACGCCGCCTCGTTTGACGTGCTCGCTTCTGCTCCTGCTGGCCACAGAGTGCTCAACAACATCAGCGTTGTGGTGCCATCCACGCCGTCGTTGACGATCGTTGTCGGGTCGGTCGGAAGCGGCAAGTCGTCGCTGCTCACTGCCATCCTCGGCGAGCTTGTCCTGGTCTCGGGAACGTCATCTGTGACGTCGCGCATCGCGTACGCCAGCCAAGATCCGTGGCTCCAACTCACCACCGTTCGCGAAAATATTGTGTTTTCCACCAGAGCAGGCAAGCAAGCTCCAGTTGACGAGGACCGATATGCCAGGGTCCTGTCAGCGTGCCAGCTCGAGTCCGACTTGGCCGCGCTGCCTGACAGAGATTTGACTGAGATCGGGTCCCGCGGCGTCACGTTGAGCGGCGGCCAGAAGGCCCGCGTCGGCCTCGCTCGCGCGGCTTACAAGAAGGCTGACGTGTATCTGCTGGACGACCCGCTCAGCGCGCTTGACGTGCATGTAGCCACCAACGTGTTCAAAGACTGCATTCAAGCGCTCTTGAGCCAGTCTAGTCCCGTCGTGCTCGTGGTAAACAGCCACTACCACCTCCTTCCATTGGCAGATCGCGTGCTCGTGATGGAGAACGGATCGATCGTCGGCGATGGCAAGCTCGCGTCCCTTGCAATGGCATTTCCGCATCTCGTGGCATTCTCGACAAGCTCCGCTTTGAATGCAGACGCCACGACCGCGCCATCATCCGCTTCGCTCACCATGGACTCGACGTCGCCGTTGGCGGCATCGGCGGCCTTGATTGTACCCGAGGAGCGCAACGTCGGCCGGGTGACGACCCAAACCTACACAACTTACTTTTCCGCGTCCGGGTGGAATGGCGTGGGTGTCGCTATCAGTGTCATTGGATTTTTTGTCGTCGCGCAGGCATGCCTTGTTCTCATGGACTGGTTCGTCGGGCTATGGGCCGCGGCGCCATCGCCGCCCAATGCCACGTATGCCGGCATGTACATCGCCCTCGCCGTGCTTGTGCTGGCCCTTGTCGTCGGGCGTAGCCTGTACGTGCTGCATTTCATCCTCCTCTGCTCCAAACACCTCCACTCGACCATCCTCCACAACGTCTTGCACGCGCGTCTCCATTCGTTCTTTGACGTGACCCCCGTCGGCCGCATCCTGAATCGGTTCTCGGCCGACCTGTCGACCGTCGACAACATGGTGCCGATGCTGGGGCTGCACATCTTGGGCTTGCTTGTTCAAATCCTCGCGTCGCTCGTGGTGTGCGCCGCCACGTCGCCGTACGTCCTGCTCGTGTACGTGCCGCTTGGGTGGGTCTTTGCGAAAATTCGCGCGATTTACAGTGCTACGTCCACACAGCTCAAACGGATGGACGGGACGTCGCGGTCGCCCGTGCTCACCCTGCTCACCGAGACCGTCGACGGGGCCAGCACCATTCGCGCCTTCGATGCCACCGCCGCATTCCAGGACAACGCCCGCGCGGCCATCGACTTCAACCAGCGGTTCGACTTGACCCATTTCATTTCGACCAAGTGGTTTCAAATGCGCCTCGACTGGGTGTCCGTCATCGTCGTTGGTGCCGTTGCCTTCCTTGCGGTTGCGACCAAGGACTCGGTCACGGCTGTCGGCCTCGCGCTCACGTATGCCGTCCAGCTCACGATTGTGTTGTCCCGCACCACGATGGAGTATACGTACTTGGACGACGTCATGACGAGTGCCGAGCGATTGGATCACTACACGCACCTCGACCACGAAGGGGCGTCGCTGACGAGAGGTACCGCCATCCCAGACAAAGAGCATGAAGCGTGGCCGCAGCACGGCGCGATCACGTTTGCAAACTACTCGATGCGGTACCGCGACGGGCTCCCGTTGTCGTTGAACGGCGTCAGCTTTAGCGTTCGGGGTGGGGAAAAGGTCGGGATCTGCGGGCGCACGGGGGGCGGCAAGAGTTCGCTCGTCGCGGCGCTGTTTCGTACGGTGGACGCGGCGACCGGCAGCATCTTGATGGACGGCGTCGACATTGCCGCGGTGCCGTTGGCGACGCTGCGATCGAAACTCACGATCATTCCTCAGGACCCTGTCCTCTTTAGCGGGTCGCTGCGATTCAATTTGGACCCGACCGAGTCGGCGACGGACGCCGACTTGTGGCGGGTCGTGCGCGACGCGCACTTGACCGACGTTGTCCACAGCCTCGACTTTGACGTGGCGGAAAACGGAAGCAACTTGTCTGTGGGCCAGAGGCAGTTGGTGTGCATCGCGCGCGCGTTGCTGCGCAAGTCCAAGGTGGTGGTGCTGGACGAAGCAACGGCCAACATCGACGTCGACACGGACCGGCTGATCCAAGACTCGCTCCGGGGGACGTTTGCCACGGACGTGACCAAGCTCGTGATTGCCCACCGCCTCGACACGATCCTCGACAGCGATCGCATCCTCGTGCTCCACGACGGGTCCGTCGCCGCCTTTGACACGCCGCACGCCCTTGTCGCGATGGACCGCGGCGTGTTTGCGTCGCTCAAACTCTGACACAAACTACTCGACGAATACGTTGAAAACGATTACAGTGTTTCGTGGCGCGAGTCCAAAAACAGCTTGTACACTGGATTGTCTTGCTCGTCGAACCAGTCGTAGCCGACGCCGTCGAGGAACTCGTCGAACGCGTCGTCGTCTGCCGGCGCAACTTGCATCCCGACAAGGACCCGGCCGTAGTCGGCGCCGTGGTTGCGGTAGTGGAATAAACTAATGTTCCAGTTGTGGTCACCCATGCTGTCGAGAAAGTAGGTGAGGGACCCCGGGCGTTCCGGAAAGACAAATCGGTACAGCTTCTCGCGGACCGACGTGGCCGAGCGCGGCGCGGGGCCGCCAACCATGTGTCGCACGTGCTCCTTGGCGAGCTCATTGTCGGTCAAGTCGATGGTGGCAAACGATGCGGCGTTGAGTGTGTCCACAAGGCCATGCACGTCGCTGCGGCTTGTGGTTTGCAACCCCACGAAAATGTGCGCTCTCGTCGCGTCGCTGTACCTGTAGTTGAACTCGGTAATCGCGCGGTGCTCGAGAAAGTCGTGGCAAAACCGCTTGAGGCTCCCGGGCACTTCTGGAATGGTCACGGCCAAGATCGCCTCGCGGGCTTCCCCAAGTTCGGCACGTTCCGACACGTGCCGCAGTCTGTCAAAGTTCATGTTGGCCCCACTCGCAATCGCCACGAGCTTCTTCCTACCGTTCCTGTGACAGGTGTACACGAAGTTTTGTGGGGGGGTTGCCCAGAGAGAAACGTGATGCCTTCTTCAAACACCACTTCATGGCGTACTCGAATCTTGTGCACTTGCAGATGACGACGCCGGCTGGAGAGATGAACGGCGCGCCGTCATCGTGCCTTTATCGAGAGCTCCCTCCTCGGTTGCCTCCATGTGCCGTCGTTCGACTCACGCCATGCAGCAAAAAATTCACACAGACACAAACGTACGGAGGAAGACGGGGCCATCGTCTGCCGTGGGTTGTCGACTTCTTCAGCGGATGTCACGTCGGATATTGACTCAACTACCCAACCTCGAGGCATCCCAGGCAGGTGCGGGCCTCAGCGGCATCCGCGCGCCATCGTGACAAGTTTGGCACAGCAACGGGTGGCGGACGTGGCGTCGTCGCAGATCGGGCGGCGCTCCACAACATACATGGATACACTTTGATTGGCTGAATTTTGATAGTTTCAACATTTTTCATCCAATCATAAGCAGAAAAAATTTCGTGCATGCACACGCCACGACCATCACTCGGACATTCCCTGGTGAGTGCTGGTGCTTGCGTTAAAGTGTTAAACGTGTTTGCCACTGGAGGGCGAGCGCATATTTGAACGTGGTGCCCCATGCCGTTCGCGCCGCCGCACTCGACGCTGACCCCACAGGTCATGGGACTGATCGAGGTGGTCATGTCGAACGCCCCTTCAGAGCACCATGTGCACTACCTCAATGGGTACACCTCACTCCATGATGCTCTCCTTCGTAACTGTGATGGTTGACGGAGAAGTTGCCGTCCAGGTTGGAGCAAATACGAGCGTTCATGCTGCAGACCCATGGCAACCCGAACGGAACGCCGCTGTCGTTTGAAGACATGGTCGCTCGGGATTCGTCGATCTGGCAAGAACACTTTGAAAAGGCCAAATCGGCCAAGGACACGATGGCCAGCGTTCGACCGACGCTCGACTTTCTGCCCAACATTGCCGGCATCGACATCCGCGTGCACTCCCGCGGCCGCCCGGACGACGCCATCTACAACTCAAGTGAGTACGCGCGGAAGTTCCTCCCTCGAGGGAACTACATTGCCCAGTGGAAAGTGGCCGACGGCCGCGCGTTGTACTTTCCCATGATTCGCGCGTATCCAAAGTTCACCGGCCACGAAGACGACGGCGAGCTGCTGTCGACCGACAACGACACAACATCTATTACGAGCGACGCTCTGTCCAAGTACTTCACCGAGCCAGCGTCCGAAACGCAATCTGTGATTACCACCACGAAGGAAAACGGCGAAGCCGCGCATCTGGCCGTCCTCAAACTCGACAACGGATCGTACGTATACCTGGTGGGGTCCAAGAACGTGCACTTGGCGATTCAGAGCGCCCGCGACATCGAGCCCGCATGTCTTGTGGGGGTGACCGCCCCCGGACAGAACCCGTTTGCCGGCGCCAAAGCTGTTGCGTATGGATTGATGCGGATGCTGGACGCGCTCGAACCTGCCAAGCGATTCCTCTTTTGCGAATTCCTCTGGCAGACGCGCCTCACGGCATCGTTTGAGCTGCTTTGCCCTGACCACCAGCACGTGGAGCTTCTTGACGTTGCACACGAAACGCCCGTTCTGTTTGGGTATTCGTTCCCGACCATGCAGACGCTGCCAGGTGCAGAAATCTGCGTGAATCCGTTGCTAGGGTTTGCACTGTCGAGAGCGTGCGGCATCCGCACCGTCGCGTTCGACGTTGTGCCGTACACTGGCCTCGAGTTCAAAAATGTCCTCACCGCCATCAAGTCGGGGTACCAAACCGAAGGCAACGTCAACTTGTACGTGAACGGGCGCGGCAACGTCATCGGGCTGCAAAAGTACAAAACGGCGTGGTATGTCAGCTTGCGTGCGATCCGGGAAAAGGCCAAGGCGTTTTTGACAGCCGTGCTCGGAAAGAAGCACGCGCCAATCGACGAGGCTTTACGCGACTCGCATCGGAGCATCGAGAAGCGGTTCAAAGCCATCCAACGCTTCCTCCAGCTCACGGACGACAGCACGGCCAAGTACTGTGCGCTAGGCGTGGAGTTCGTCACGTACGTTGCAAGGGTGCGGCTAGCGAGCTGTGGAAACAGCGACGACGCCAAGAAAGCAGTCCAGCACGACTGCGTTAACTTGTTTCCAGTCGTGTGGAGGGACTTTCTCGTCGCGACGGGCGCCAACGATCGCATTGACTGCAGCGTGTAGATCTGTCGAGGCGTCAGAAAATAGAACGAACCAGTGATCATGTCTTTGGACGTCGTCGTGCCACTGTGGACCAGCATGTAAGCATTCATTACAGTCGCCGCGCTGGTACATGCTTCCGCTCGGGCATGGTAACCTGGATCGGAGAGATACGTCCTTATGTCTGCGCCAATTTACCCAGTGGCGGCATGTCGCGTCGTTTTGGCGACTGGAACACGCGCCATCGCTTCGTGGCCACGGCACTCCGTTCCGCCTGCCCTCCTACTCGACACCTTGGTCCCAAACATGCCACCATGCCGTGGCGCACCATCGTCCATCGACCAAGCCACACGAAAATGCCACGGCTGCGCAAACGTGCCGGATAATTCGTTTTTTCCGGATAACGCATCTCGTGACGTTTCGCGCCACCATTCGATCGTCGTCGCTGCATCAACATGGCAGGTTCCGTCGACAACTACCTGGAGCGCATCTTGACGGCCCGTGTATACGACGTTGCCGTCGAGACGTCCCTGGATGCCATGCCGAGTCTGTCGGCGCGGACGGGTAACACCGTCCTGCTGAAACGAGAAGACACACAGCCCGTGTTCAGTTTCAAGTTGCGTGGCGCGTACAACTGCATGGTGCAGCTGACGGAGGAACAGCGCGCGAAGGGAGTTGTTGCTGCGTCGGCGGGGAACCATGCACAGGGAGTTGCCCTTGCCGCGAAGAAATTGGGGTGTGTTGCGACCATCGTGATGCCTGTCACGACACCCCAGATCAAAATCAGCGCCGTCGAGCGCAACGGAGGCATTGTCGTCTTGCACGGAGACTCCTACTCGGATGCATACGCCCATTCGATGTCGATCGTGGCGACCACAGGCGGCACGTTTGTGCATCCGTACGACGACCCGGACGTGATCGCGGGGCAAGGCACGATTGGGATGGAGCTGCTCCGACAGCGCCACGACCTGGACGCGGTCTTCGTGCCCATTGGCGGTGGTGGACTGGCGGCGGGCGTTGCGGCATATGTCAAACGCCTACGGCCACATGTAAAAGTGATCGGTGTCGAGCCCGTGGACGCCGCGACGATGCATGACTCGATCGCCGCGGGAATGCGCATTGAGTTGCCGACAGTGGGTTTATTTGCGGATGGCGTGGCGGTCAAGCAAGTGGGGGAAGAAACGTTCCGGTTGTGTCGCCACCTGCTCGACGAAGTCATCTTGGTCGACACGGACGCGATGTGCGCCGCCATCAAGGACGTGTTCGAGGCGACCCGCAGCATCCTGGAAGCGGCTGGTGCGCTGTCGCTGGCAGGGCTCAAAGCGTGGGTCGCGCGAGAAGGCGCGACCGGGAAGAAGCTCGTGGCGATTGCGAGTGGGGCCAACATGAACTTTGACAGACTGCGGCACGTGTCGGAACGTGCCGAACTCGGGGAAGCCCGCGAGGCGATCTTGGCCGTGACCATTCCAGAAGTGCCCGGGAGCCTCAAGCGGTTTTGCCACGACTTTCTCGAGCACCGCGCGATTACCGAGTTCAACTACAGGTACAGCGACGCGACGAGAGCGCACATTTTCGTGGGGTTGCAAACCACAAGCCGCAGCGAAGTGCATGGCCTTGTGGACACACTCAACGCCGCCTCGTTTGCCACCATCGACTTGACCGACAATGAGCTCGCCAAGGAGCACGTGCGACACATGGTTGGCGGCCCCGCGCCGCGCTCGGCCACGTCGGTCCGCGAGAAGCTGTACCGATTTGTCTTTCCCGAACGCCCGGGGGCCCTCGCCTACTTTCTCGACAGCATGGGCGACCACAACTGGAACATTAGTTTATTCCACTACCGCAACCACGGCGCCGACTACGGCCGGGTCCTTGTCGGGATGCAAGTTGCGCCGGCAGACGACGACGCGTTCGACGAGTTCCTCGACGGCGTCGGCTACGACTGGTTCGACGAGCAAGACAATCCAGTGTACAAGCTGTTTTTGGACTCGCGCCATGAAACACTGTAATCGTTTTCAACCTCTATTCCTCGAGTAGTTTGTGTCAGAGTTTGAGCGACGCAAACACGCCGCGGTCCATCGCGACAAGGGCGTGCGGCGTGTCAAAGGCGGCGACGGACCCGTCGTGGAGCACGAGGATGCGATCGCTGTCGAGGATCGTGTCGAGGCGGTGGGCAATCACGAGCTTGGTCACGTCCGTGGCAAACGTCCCCCGGAGCGTGTCTTGGATCCGCCGGTCCGTGTCGACGTCGATGTTGGCCGTTGCTTCGTCCAGCACCACCACCTTGGACTTGCGCAGCAACGCGCGCGCGATGCACACCAACTGCCTCTGGCCCACAGACAAGTTGCTTCCGTTTTCCGCCACGTCAAAGTCGAGGCTGTGGACAACGTCGGCCAAGTGCGCGTCGCGCACGACCCGCCACAAGTCGGCGTCCGTCATCGACTCGGTCGGGTCCAAATTGAATCGCAGCGACCCGCTAAAGAGGACAGGGTCCTGAGGAATGATCGTGAGTTTCGAGCGCAGCGTCGCCAACGGCACCGCGGCAATGTCGACGCCGTCCATCAAGATGCTGCCGGTCGCCGCGTCCACCGTACGAAACAGCGCCGCGACGAGCGAACTCTTGCCGCCCCCCGTGCGCCCGCATATCCCGACCTTTTCCCCACCCCGAACGCTAAAGCTGACGCCGTTCAACGACAGCGGGAGCCCGTCGCGGTACCGCATCGAGTAGTTTGCAAACGTGATCGCGCCGTGCTGTGGCCAGGCGTCCAGAATGTCCTGAGCCGTGTTTCGGTGTATGCGGTGCTGGCCCTCCCCGTCGAGGGAAATGTACTCGACCATGCGCTCCACTGACGTCATGTGCTCCGCTACTTCGGCCTGGCCCATCACTGCTCGCGAGAGGAATCCTGACAACTGGGTCACGTACGTCAAGGCGAGGCCGGCGGCGCTGGCACTGATCAGCCCTCGAGACCACACGCACGTGAAGGCAACGATGGTGACCATCCCGCCCGACAGCCAGTCCATGCGCATTTGGAGCCACCGCGACGCGAGGAATTGCACCAACAAGTAGCTCTGTGCTTTGTCCAGCGCTTGCCGACCACGTAATTCGACGAGCTGCATTTGACCAAATGCTCGGATGGTCGCGAGACCTTGGATGGCTTCTGTCACAAGGGCTAGAAACGGACCTCGATGCGCGGCAGCTAGGCGCGACAGCGCCGGCGACGTGTGGCTGAAGCACGTGTATATGCGGCCCAGTGCCATGGCCAGTGGCACGCAGAAGAGCAGCGTCCACGGCAACGTGGCCCCACACACAACAACGACAGCGGCAACTTGGAATTGGCATTGCAACCAGTACACGGCGGACGTCGGCATGCGGCTGTCGACGTCGTTGAGGTCGCTGGAGAAGCGATGGAGAATTGTGCCCACCGGCGTCACGTCAAAGAACGATGGGATGGGCGCGGCCACGACCGCTGCGAGGAGTTGACTGTGCAGAGTCTTGGCACTCGCAAGGTTCACGAGCAGCGCGACCAGTCCTCTCGAAAACAGCAAGGCAACCCCCGCGATGGCGACGGCTACATACAGCCAGAGCGTTGACGGCGAGGTCACGTCGCCCAAGATGGCATCGGCTGCGACCACCAAACCTTGAGACATCACGTACATGCCGCCAACAAACGCCACCACGATCGAGCCATGCCATCCACTCGCGTTGAAGTAGGCGAGGTAGGTATCCCAGGCAACTTGCGGCGACTCGCGATGGAGCAAGCGGGTCGTGTCGCTCGGGTGTCGTTTGTTGCAGGGCAGCGCTTGTACCGACGGGAATTTGCGCTTTTCCATCGAGTTTCCCGGCACCTGGTCGACAGATTTGGACGGCAAACGTGGCGCTGGGTCGGTAGGTGGAGTCGAGCTCACGCAGTCTCGACCAGAGCTCAGCTCTGCCAGGCTGTTCTGCAGTGCTGCAAACGACCCTTGGCGGACGACGCGGCCTTGGTCCATCACCACAATATGATCCGCGGACTGCAGGAGGTGGTAGTGGCTGCTGAGCACCATCACGACCGACTTGTTAGCAAGTAGACCACGAATGCCTTGGTCGAACACTTCTTGGGCGACATGGACGTCCAGCGCACTCAACGGGTCGTCGAGAAGGATCAAGTCGGCTTCTCGATGGTACAGGGCACGAGCTAGGTTCACTCGGGCCTTTTGGCCGCCACTGAGGTTCACCCCACGACCACCCACCACCGTGCGATCGCCTTGAGGTAGCGCAGCCAGGTCTGGCCCCAACTGGCACGCCGACAGGACGTTGTGGTAGTGCATTGATGACGCTGCTTGGTCCAAGTCGTCGTCGTCAGGTTGAAATGTTATATTGCTGCAAATGGTGGCATGCTGGAGCCACGCGTCTTGGCTCGCATACGCTAGTCGAGTGGACGAGACATGCATGTGTCCACGGACAAGGTGGAATTCGCCAAGGATCGCCTTGAGGACGCTGGACTTGCCGCTGCCGACGGGACCCACAAGCATTGTCAGTTGGTGGCGTGGAATCGTCAGATGCACGTCGCACAGTGAGGTCGGCGAAGGAAACGTAGGCAAGGGCGAGGTTGGCGACGAAGGCAGGTCTTGGTATGGCCGGCGTAACGCAAATGATCCATCTTGAATGGCAACCACAGTTCTTGGAGTGTCACAGGCATTGCCGTCGCAAGCAGCGCCCGTACGAGGGCTCTCCGTCCGAAAGCCCGCGGCCTCGCCATCGGTCGATGCCGCTTCCGTTGGAGCCGCAAGGAACGTGGCAATGCGGTCGGCCGATGTCCATGCCTCCGTGACCCGCATGACGGCAAACGCAAACAAGTTGCAGGGCAGCCGCGCAATGTTGACAGATGCCATGGCGGTGAACGCCACCGTCGGAGTGAGGTCGTGACCAAGCCCAACAACATGCACGACGACACACGCAATGAGGGACAGCGTCGGCGCCACGAGCAGCCCAATTGCGTTGAGTTCGCTTCCAAACTGGTACTTGTGTTGGAGTTGGAGTTCCGCGTCGCGGATGTGCGAGACACGGGCTTGGAGGCACGTTTCCCAGCCGTGCATTTTGACCACACGGATGCCAGAGATGATCTCGTTCGTAAGCTTGACGCGGGCAGCTTGCACTGCCATCAGGTCGTGCCGCAGGTGGCCTGCAGCATGCGCACAGAAATATCCGACTGTCATGACCGCCAAGAGCGTCACAAATCCAGCCACACCCGCTTGCCACCCCATGGCGAGCCCAATGAACGTGTACAGGAGCGGAAGAGCCACGACAGGAACGACGAGCCATGGCAACGCGACAAAACCCACGAAAATACGGGTGGAATCCACCGCGAGCATCGTGATCACATCGCCACCGCCTGGTGGTGCACCGCCAGGACCCGCAGCAGCATCGCTGGGCAGTCGCAGCGACTTCGACAGGACCAAATCCATCACGACAGATTTGACGTTCGTTGCAAGCTTGGCAGTGACGAAGAAGGACGAGTCCAGAATGGTCACCGACAGTAGCGACACCCCCGCCAGGAGCACAGCCAGCCAGTACCCGTGGGCCGCCGACGACTCCTCGACTGCGGTCGTCATGAAGAGCAAGAGCGATTGAATCAAATGCGGCTGGAATTGTACGAGAAGGGAGTACCCGACCGACATGGCGGCGACACATCCAATTTCACAAGCAAAGGTGCGGCAAATGGCTCGGAGCAAGCTTGGACGTCGTCGCCGCGCTTGCTCGTCGATCCACTGGCTTAGGAAGCGACGGCTGAGCTTTTCCGCTGTGTCATTGGCCTCCAGCTGCCAAACATCGTTGTCCATGAGACGTCGCGTCGCGCCAAGGCGAAAGAGCGGGTCGAGCCACAGCAGCAAGACGCGACTGAGCCACGGCGCGCGATCCACGACGGCCGGCGGTTGGCACATGAGAAAGTGAGCAACTCCGCGCACATCGCTTCGCACCCCCTTCAACGCCGCACTTCGTCTGATCCCATGTCTCTCGGCGACTATCGCACGTCCCTTGGGCGATTTCGATTTCTGGGCAAAATAGTTTCTCTGGGCTTTAGCTCAACTAGGATGTCTTGATATTTTGATATTTCTAAATTCATCAAAACTAGAAAAATCTCTCGTTGCGGTGTGCGCTGCACGGGAGCGAAGTCGCATGGGAAGCAACGTGGCGCACCTGTCAACACTACCAACAAAAGAGTCGTCATGGTGCACGGCGTTGTCAGAGAACGCTGTGTTGCGACGAAACATGAAAGGCAGACGTGAAAGTACACGCTGGATTCGTGTTAGAAGGAACAACTCATCGTTGTGGTTGTGTTCAAGTGACTGTGCTGCATCAAGATCGACGTCACGGCGGCATGACCCATGGTTTGAGCGTCCACGACGGCGCGGTGCGTGAATCCTTCGTGTCGATGCGTGCACAAGAAGAGAACGACTTCGACTTGGTTGTTGCGCGCAGCCCAGTCGACGGCATTGGTCGTGCAACCTTCGTCACGGCTCGTGTGGAGGAATCGAACAACGTCCAGGAATCCATTCTTGGCGGCGCGGTCCATGGCGTAAGTTGTGCACCCTTCATGTCGAGTGTTGTGCAGGAACTCCACGACGTTCATGAAGCCGTTCTCAGCAGCCAAGTCCATGGCACGTGACGAACACCCGTCGAGTTCGTGGAGGCATACCACGAGGTCGAAATGTCCGTGGCCGGCCGCGCGGTCCATTGCATCGGACGTGCACCGCATGCCAGCATCATGAAGCATATGTAGAACGCCTAGGTGTCCTGCGGCAGCCACGTCGTCAGGGAGATATGCGCTCCCACCTTCTGTGCGATTCACGAGTAGAAACCGCACAATGGCCACGTGTCCTGCTTTCGCGGCGTCGTCCAGCGCTGCCACCGTGCATCCCTCGGTTCGATACGTGTGTAGGAATTCCACTATGTTCAGATGTCCGTTCTTCGCCGCCATGTCCATGGCATTTGGGGTGCAAAATGCCCTCGTTGTGTGATGCAGTCGCTGGACGATAGCGAAGTGACCATGCGCTGCAGGAACGTCGAGAACGCACGGTGGGTGACCGTTGCCAAGCAAATAATCCACAGCCGTAAGATGCCCGAAGCGAGCTGCCTGCTCCACGAGGCTGACTCGCTGGAAGAGATCACGGTTCACTTGAGGATACTGGCGGAGCAGATCCATCCGCCCCGAACGCGCTGCATGGGCCAAGACAATACAACTGAGCTTTGGAGCACACTTGAGAAGTCGATCCACACCGACGACGCCATACTGTCCATAGAAGGGCGAAAAGATGGAGTCAAACGCAGACAGAACGCGATCGAATTTCCCGTCAGATGGAACGGCGTGGCAGCCAACGTACGACACCTGGAACGGAAACAGATCAAAGTTGTTGGCGTACATGCGAGGGATGAGTGTGTGGACTTCGAAGTACACGCCCTCTTGAAACTGGACGATCTGTGGAAGCAGCTCAGCCGACGCCACTACGATGTTCATCGTGCTTTCACTGCCGCTTCGCCGACTTGAAGTCCAGCGTCGAAATTCTCGTGCTGTGCTCCACATTAGTACTACTACGTGGTATGTATTACGCCGAAAATATGACAACGAACATTGGCACTACTTCACTGCATAGTATTACTAGTAGTAGCTGGACCCATACTGTAACTGTCAATTTTTATTTCGATGTCGAGCATGGGATGGCCCATGCCAGATAGGTTACAAGTGGCCACCGCAATCGCCGGCACCCCCCTCTAAGCCACTGTCTCTATCCGCATGATGAATTGCTGAGGGGTCTCTTCGTCATCGTTGGAGAGCACGACGACCTTGTCGCCCTTCTTGGTCCAGCCCATCTTGACGGCATCTTCGAGCGCTTCCTCCAGTGTCATGGATTCAGAAACGACAGGGTAGAGACCTGTAGTGCCCACCCGCCAAGAATAAGGTCGCACTCAAACATTCACGTCAGTCTACATACCGCGGTGCAATTGCAGTTGGCGCCCAACCTTCCGGCTTGGTGTATAGCTCATGACAGGAACGCTGGGCTTGTACTTGGCGACGTCGCGAGCGAGGGTGCCGTCCTTAGTGAGCGCCACAATAAGTTTGGCCTTGAGTTCGTAGGCGACGTTGACAGCGGCTGAGGCGAGTGAGTCGCGGCCCGTCACGACGGGCGGAGAAATTGGGAAGCGGGACATGAAATTTTCACCCTCCTTGATAATTGCAAGCATCGTTGACACCGACTCGACGGGGTATTTGCCTTGGGCCACTTCCCCACTCAGCATGACGCAGTCGGCACCGTCCAACACGGCGTTTCCGACGTCCAAAATCTGCGATGTGCACGTCAACGAATCACACAAGAGCCACGGAGCATACCTCCGAGCGAGTTGGGCGAGGGTTTCGGATCATGCTGTCGAGCATTTGCGTCGCGACAATGACGGGCTTACCGACGGCGTTGGCCTTGGACACCATCATCTTCTGGCACGTGAACACTTCAGCGAGTGGGATTTCAACGCCCAAGTCGCCGCGAGCCACCATGATGCCATCTGCCACATCCAAGATCTCATCAAAGTTGGACACGCCCTACGAGATTGTGAGCTCCGCTTCAACAGTCATCAAAGTCGCGAGAGTGCTCACTTGATGGTTTTCGATCTTCGCAATGAGCTTGGGCGACGGGTGGTCGGCAGGCCAGTACTTGATCATCGTGGCTTTTACAAATTCCTGGACGGCGTGGATGTCGGCGGCGGATCGGACAAACGAAACCGCGACAAAGTCCATGTCGTGCTTGATGCCGAACTCAACATCCGCCTTGTCCTTGTCCGTCAACGCGGGCAAGTCGACCACGAGGCCAGGAAGGTTCACGCCCTTGCGGTTGCCCAACGTTTCGGTGTTTTCAACGCGGCAATGGACCTGACCACCACAAGTCAAACGTGCCGTCATCGATCGAGCAAGGATCCGATGCAAGGATGTTACCTGGCCGTTCTCGATGGACTCGACCGTGAGCGAGATCAAACCGTCGTCGAGCAAGACGGTGCTGCCTGGCGACACGGTCTCGGCCAACTTGGCGTACGTGACGTACAGCAGTTCCTTGGTGCTGCTCTGCACGAGCGATGCTCACACGGTGTACACGTTGGTGTGGTTGACAATGCACGCACCTTTTTGAAGCGCTCGTCCGTGGTGAGCGTGATCTGGTCGCCCTTGGTCAGCGTAACTTTGTTGCCATCGGCGAAGCTACCGCCTCGGATTTCAGGCCCTTGCGTGTCCAAGAGGACGGAGCGGAGGTTGAATTCACTGCCGTGGGCGCCGTGCACGCCACGAGCCGCACGGAGGTTCACCGTGCCTACACATTGCGATTCGTCAGCGCTGGCAACACTTGGGCGGCGTGTCACGGACGGAGTTCGGCTTCTTCGTACGTGGCGTGGGAAAAGTTAATGCGGGCAATCTTCAACCCAGCGTTTACAAGGAGTTGCGTCGTGTGGGCGTCCTCGGAGACAGGTCCGATCGTGCCGACAATCTACCGATGAAAGGTCAATGAGGTGCTTGGTTCGACGGCTTGCCTTGGCCATGGAGAAGGAGTGGCCATCGGCATTCTTGAAACCGTGGCTCGTGATCGAGCGCTTGGAAAAGGCTGGACCGCGCACGGCGCGCTGGACATGGCGGAGCATGGTCGAATTCAACAGTGAACCAACCAAACGCCCGATCGCCGTGGAAATCGTGTGGATCCATCGATGGATTTGATTCGGAACTTCGACCAACTTCGATAAACTTCGATTTCCAACCACTGAAGGAATGTATACTCTTTACTTCGAATGCAATGCCACTGTGCCCTTTGCGCAATCCCCGACATTATTTCGACGACAAGTTCTCGAGCATCCCATGTCTTTCGGATGAAGAGGGACAGATCGGGACCGCGCTCGCGTTCACGCTCGTTACCGCGTCGTGCACCCATCGCCCAGATGAATGGCGACCAAGTGCTGTTGATCAAGATGCAGCGTCGTGTGGAGCAAGGCTTGACGTCACGGCGTTGTGTGACAACATCCAACACTGCCCTGTACCACAAGAAATATATTCAAACTGGAATTTTCCCAATACTCCATAACACAAGAATATGTTCTGTCTATTAATCGGGGAAATATCCCCATGAACACGCTCTGCGACGTGGGGACATGGGTAACTCTCGAGTTTGAAGAACCAATTGTGTCGGCGAACGTTCTTCAACCGAATCTAGTACTACGTAGAAGTACTGTACACCTCAGTTCATTTAGTAGTACTACAACGACGTGATTCAGTCAGTACCCGAGTGTTCAGATAGTACTACTAGCTCGTCGTAGGAAATAGAGGCGTTTGATTTGCTCGATTTTAGCGAATTAAAATCGTTTGTTTCGAATCAAACAGTAGTACTAATAATACTTCTTAGTATTTCTAGGATCAAATAGTATTACTAGTGTGTACGAATCTTGTGGGAAATGGAGACGTTTGATTCGCTAACTTTCAGTGAATCAAAATGGTTTGTTATGAATTCGCACGTTCTGATTGGATAGCTTTCGGTGCTTGAAGAAGGATCCTGTCGCCTCAGTCGTTACAATGATGGCCGTCGGTTGCATGCGCCGCGGCGGGACCCGCGCGGCGTCGTCGTCGTTCCGCCGCCACATGTCGACAGCACAGAGACCCCTTCGCTTCTTGATCGTGGAGGGGTACAACGAAGAAGGCCGGCAGGAGCTGGTGGATAATGGCGCGATCGTTGCATCCGAACTCTACGCGACGATGCTGACCGCGTGCGCTGGACATGTTCCAACGACCCATCACGTAATTTACCCCACCGACGGACCGGTCACGCTGCCTGACTTGAGTCAATTCGACGGAGTGGCGTGGACGGGGTGCAGGTACGGTCGTTCATGTCGACGATGTGTGTCGTCACAAGGTCTCCAGGTTGACTGTGCACCAAGCCAACGATCCGCATGTTGAGCGGCATCTGGAGCTAGCACGCCAATGCTATGCCTTTGGTACCTCTAGACGTTCTCTACCGGCAACGAGCTCAACTCTGTCGCAGGCATTCCTCAATTCGGAAGCTGCTGGGCGTCGCAGGTCGCGGTGTTTGCCGCAGGAGGCAAAGTGGCCAAGAATCCCAATGGTCGAGAAATGGGCTTGGCTCGAAAGGTTGGAACTCCATGCAGACAGCGCGATGGTGTTGAATGGCCAGGAGATTCGTAGATTGAGCTCACTCCGGAAGGCCGTGGTCATCCGCTGTACGAAGGGAAGACGAGAGTCTTTGATGCATTCACGAGCCACTACGACGAGATCACGCACTTGCCCCCCGGAGCCATCAAGCTCGGTCGCAATGCGTTTTCCCTGACGCAAGCAGTTGCTGTCCGGCACTTGAAGGTCCGCACTGGTTATAACAACACGACGTCTGGGTGTACATCAACAGCATGAGGTAGGGCGAGTTCTGGGGCTTGCAGTATCACCCCGAGTACAACCTGCACGAAATGGCGAGGCTGACGAACGCTCGCCGCCAGCGACTGGTCAACTATGGCCTGTTCCTGGACATGGCCGCCGCCGACCGGTGGGTTGCTTTCTCGCCACGGCATTCCAAACGTATCATGTAGGTACGTTGCCGAGCTCGAGGAATTGCACGCGCACCCAGATCGCAAGGACATTGCGTGGCGGCTTGGCATCGATACGGACGTGCTCGACGACGACATTCGGTGCATCGAAGTGAAAAACTTCATCAAGCACTTGGTTCTCCCGTACAACCAATCGCGCGTGCTGGTCCGGACGGACTGATCGACTCGCCGTCGACAGCTCGACCACCGGCAACATCGTGGGTCCATCTCGACGCCATCGCGCGGGCTTTACCTGGAGCTGTAGCTACCTAACAAAGCATTTGATCGAACGAGACAGCCAGCCACACGAGTTGCTAGAGTTTTTGGGTGCGGTCGAGGTCGGAATATCTGTCTGAGGCGCCGTCGTGTGCTAGTCGGAACGGGCGATTGGCATGCAAGAAAAGAAGGGACGTTTCATTTCCGCACACGAGCCATGCTGCCATCGAGAGCCCCAAGTTGATCGTTGGGGTGGGCAAGCGAATGTCGAAGTGTACTCTTGGGGATGCATGCACGTTGTGGACTTTGCCCCCACGTCCTTTGTCGAAAGGGCGACCGACCGACCCCGTCCTCTCGGCGGAGTACACGCGTACCACGCGTTCGGAAAGCCTCGCTTGAAACCCCCCCATCATTTTGGCCCGGTGTCGTTACAAAGCTGTTTCGGCCGATCGCGATGCACATGGAAATTGCGTCGGCCAAGATCTCGAGAGATCGCGATGGCCGTTGCGCCTCGGCATTTTGCGAAACAAAATGGCTCAAGCAGACCTGTCCCAAGGGCGCCGCCCCGCAGAAGTCGTCCACGCGGGCGGAGGGGGCGACGACGGCCTGTTTGTACGCCATCATGCACGCGCTGCGGACCACTCTCATCGGGATATAGGACGAGATCTCGCGCGAGTCGTACGCCGTCACAATCGCCAAGGCCACCGGCGACGATGCGTCCAGCGACAAGCAACCCCTCCAGAGTACGCCTGGTCGTGCATCCCGCGACTCGTTCGATCGATCGTTGTCCCCCTAGCGCCTCGACTCGGCACCCTCGGCGGCGTCTACTTTCCGTGCTTGCAGTCGATCCTGGGCGTCACTCTCTTCCTGCGTATGCCGTGGGTGACGTCTCAAGGCGGCGTCTTCCTCACGTGCATCTTGTTCGTGCTGTGCCAATCCGTGGCGTACTTGACCACGCTGTCGATTTGCGCGCTCGTGACGAACGGTGCGCCGCCTCGCCCCTCTTCCTTCTCACTCGGTTGTGTCGTCATTCGCCGCAGGTAAAATCGCTGCCGGCGGGGTGTATTTCTTGCTGTCGCACACCCTCGGCGTGGGTAAGGACGACGACGTGCTGTCCATTTGGCGTGACGAGCAAGTGGCTGTAGAAACGGGGTCGGCGGTGGGGCTACTTGCCTTTGCAGGGTCGACGTGCAGCCTCGCCTTTAGCGTGCTGGGGGCGACCGAGATTTTCAAAAACATCGTGGACACGTCCGAGTGGCTCGTCAACGACTCGCGCGTCTTGGCGGTCGCGCTGCTCGTTGTGCTGAGCGCCCTCTCGGCTGTCGGTACGCACACCTCAATTCGATCATGGGCTCCATGGGCGCGTGTAAATCGTCGGACCAGGGCTCAAGTACATCACCATGGTCGGCACCGCGTGCCTGACGGTGGTGCTGAGTTCGATCGCGGCGGCCGTCGTGGGACTCCTCGTTCATGCAACACGGACCCCGTACGTCCTGCACGGGGGCGTTCCAGTCTGACAAAGACGCCATTAGGCTTCCAAGCGACGTTGTCTGGTTCGACAATGTCCACACAAACTACTCGATCGATCCCAAGACCGGCGTCATGCCGTCCATGTCGATGCTGGTTTCCCTCGTTTACCCTGGCACGACGGGCTACATGAGCGGCGCCATGCGGTACGTCCGCCGAACCCAGTCGTAATAAGGGAGTGCTTGCGTCGGCAGGGCCAGCACGTTGGAAAATCCGGCGCGGTCGATCCCCCTCGGCACGATAGGTGCTTCACTCTCATGCATCCTTTCCTGGCTGAGTGCGACTCGTTAGCTGCAATGTTGACAGTGTTGGCCATCAACTTTGCCGTGGTCTTCTGCTACGGCTCCATCATGTCGCACGAGGTGCGCGTCATGTCGATGCATCCAGGCACAACTCAATGGGGCTTTGCTGTGTAGACGCTCCAGTCGGACAAACTGATCATGTCGACGCTGGCGCTGCCGCATAAGCAGCTCGTCAATGTCGGGATCTTGTTTAGCGCGATCGGTGGCGCCCTGCAAAGCCTGGCGAACCAGCCACGGATGTTGGCAGCCATGGCAAACGACAACATCATTCCATTCCTCCGGCCATTTGCGGTCAAGGAAGGCCAAGAACCTCGCCTTGCAATTGTGCTGTGCATGTGCCTCACGTGCATCCCGTGTTTTGCAGGTATGATGTCTTTGTCGCGATGGTGTTGGGCTTACTTGGCTCGTCGACAGGCAACCTGGACTACCTGTCGCCGTTCTTGACCATGGTGAGCCTGATGCAGTGCTTGACTCTCAACCTGGCGTGTTTTGCCGCATCGGCCGCGCACACTCCTGGCTTTCGCCCGCAATGGTACGCGTGGGCTGCGGTGGCTATGATGATGGGCACGTCACTGTCGTTGGTGTGCAGGCGATACTTTCACTGGACCACGGCGCTGGTCGGGGCGATGTGGTGCTTTGGGCTCATGATGTTTTTCTCGTGGCTCCGAGCGGTTGGCGCGATTGCTATTTGCATCGCGCTGCGAATCTACGTCAAGTACTTGGGCGTCGAACAAGACTGGGGCAATTCGGTGCGCGGCATGCAGCTGGAGCTGGTACATACATCCAACGTCACCGGCGCGAATGAACCGTCGCGTAGGCATGCACGTTGCTCAAGATGCTCCACACGACCACGGAAGAGGAACACACCAAGAATTGGCGCCCCCAAGTCCTCGTGTTTTGCAAAATGGACTCGACTGGGCTGCCTCTCTCACCGCAGATCTTGCATTTTGCGAGCCAGCTCAAAGAAGGCCATGTAAGCATCCCGTTGTGCCGTTGTGTACACCGCAGCTCAGAGATCGTTTTATCGCAGGGACTGGTCGAAGTCGTGGGGCTCGTTCCACGAAACGACGACAAATCGTACGACGAGTGCCAAGCGGCAACGGTCGTTCTTCGCCAGCACCTCGCCACGGCGCGCCTCTCGGCGTTTGGGCATGTCTATGCTTGTAAAGACCCCCTCGAGACCATGGCCATGGTCGCTGAGGCGTCTGGGATGGGATGCCTGCGAACCAACACGGTCATGGTGGGGTGGCCCAACACGTGGGAGTCGGGAGACGCGGCGCCGTATGTCGATATGCTCCATGACATGATCAACTGCAAGAAGTCGGTCATGGTGCTCAAGAACATGGAGACATTGCCGTTCAACGACGCCAAGAAGAATGGGTACATGGACGTGTGGTGGGTATTGCACGACGGCGGGTTGTTGCTGCTGGTACGCGAACACCATTCGTCGTGGATGGCACGGACCGAAATGAATCGCCGCGTGATAGGTTCCATACTTGCTGCGCCTGCACCGCGTGTGGCGCAAATGCAAGCTGCGGCTGTTTGCGATCGTGTCCGCCAAGGAAAACGCGGCAGAGGTGCGTCGTCGCCGTGGAAACGAGTCCAGTCATGTCGACGCGTGCAGGTGGAATCGCGGCTGAAGACGTTTTTGGGCCATGCGCGCATTCAAGCAGAGATTCACGTCGTCGAGTTGAGCGACTCGACGATCTGCAGCATGGCGCCGAAACGAACTGGGGAAGAGCTCAACTCGAAGAAGAATGCGATCGATCGCATGAAGGTACAAGCCGCCCAAGCTGGTGCGGCCTAAACATGCGCCGCTAGGTCGCGACGTTGTCGTTTTCTGTGCGAAATCCATCCCAATACAGCCAACTGACAGATGAACTCAACGACATCGGGTCGTTTGTGGAAGACGGCGACGACGACGAAGCGCCAACCGTGTTGAGTCCGCGCAAGAGCAAGCCCCCCCTCCCCAAGGGTTACGTATCGGTGGACCCTCGCATGCGCCACGCGCAGCGGTTCAACCGCCAATTGCAGGTACACACACGATCGTGCAAGCTGGTGCTCATGTAGCGCGATCTATGCAGCTGCAATCTGCGCAGGCGTCGCTCGTCGTGATGAACTTGCCCCGACTCATTGGCATCCCCCCTCTCGACTGTACGTGGTTCCAGTCCCTTATTCTCTATTCTATTGACGCTCTCTTCCACGTAGTCATGCATTATGTCGAGGCTTTGACCGAGAACCTCTCTTCCGTCGTGCTCATTCGCGGCAGCGGCCGCGAAGTTGTCACACTAAACGCTTAACTCGTAATGCACTACTAAGGTTGGATGGCGACTGTTCGTGAACGGGCGGTTTTGATTGGCTGGTCGGGATCTCGTTTCGTCCGGTTAATTTCCGGATGCGACGGGATTGGTCCATTTTTCATGACGTTTGATTGGCCAATGCGAAACGCAGTTCCGGGACCAGTAAACTTGCCGACTCGGAAACCACATGCAGCGCGTTCCTCGCTCGATCGTCCGCCAGGTAAGGACGGCCGGTGTAAAGTTGCAACGATCCCAAGGGACTGTGTAGTTTAGCACCAGCGAGCCCGCGTACTCGTTTGTCAAGGCGCGCCGCGCGTACTTGGCGGAGGTTGCGGACCTGCGCAAGCTGTACTTGCAGCAGGAAAACGCCCGTCGAGAAAAGTTGGCCCGCGATCAAGCGTAAGACAAACGCGTATTCGACGGATAGATCGATCGTTGAAACTCCCTCTTGCGTAGCACCGAGCGTGAACGTGTGTTGAAGGCCAAGGCGGCGCGCTTGGAAATGAAGCGCCAGTTGCAAGCCATCCGTGCCAAGGAAGTCGAAGCCGAGAAGGCCGAACACGCCGAGTTCGTCGCGAAGCGCTTCCAGGAAAGGAAGATCGTGCGCGAGCAACACGAAGCCGCCGTGGAAGCGAAGCGAGAGGCGGTGTTGGGCCAATTGACAGAGCAGAGCAAGAATTGGATCCTTCCCGACACCATCGACGACCAGTTAACGGAAGCGGCGTTCGCGACCCAGCTCAAGGAAGCCACGAAAAGCAAAGTTGGCAACTTGGGTGCGCTCTCGTGGCTCGAACGGCTGAAGACGATGAAGCCTGTCGACTACGAAGACGTCGACGACGATGGAAAGAAGTAGTAACAATCGCAATGCTATCCTGTCTAGACTCGGTTTGGGCTTTAGTCGTTCGACAAGGGATGGCATCATGTGCACAGTCCCAGGCACGAACCATTCCACCGTCAAAGCGCGCGTAGGTTCTATGGTGTGTACGATCGGTGGTTTGCTATGACAAGAATGGTGGCAAACTATTACTGGTCTGCGCGTCCACTGCCATCGCGAAAGGAAACGTTGTGCGCAAAACTCACGAGGAGGCTGCGTGCGTGAAACCATGGCCGCCATGCACCAATGGCCACCATTCGCACCATGCTGCTCGCGACGTCGAACGCATCCACCAGCACGATCTAGACGACGACATCCATTGCGTGCATAAGCAGCGGAGTCCAACCGTGCAAATCCACTTTCCGAAACCCGCGCCTAAACAACTGCGTAGTTAGGCCCAGAGCCGGCCTCCAACGCCGCCGCCATCTTAATTCGATAAATACGAGAAGTGCGGCGCACCTGATCTACATGGCTCCTGGACGTTGGCTCGATGATGACCTTTGGCTATTTATATATCTCCCCATGACACGATTCGGTTGGAACAATTGCTGCGTGTCAAGAGGAGCCAATACACGTTGACATGCAAAGCACAGTCCGACCGCTAAAAGCGCTGATGCCGACCCCATCGAGCCCTGACGTCGGCGACTACTGCACCCGGCCGGTCGGTCGAAGTGAGTCCATCGATAGCACCGACACGTGCACAGATTCCACGACGAGCGAGGCGGATGGTGAGCATGCCTCGGATGAACACTTCGTGACGGGCCTCCTCTGCCAGGACTGGACGGCAGCGCTCGTGGCTGCGATGACAAGGCCGTTGTTGTTCTCACCACATCTGAGCTACAGCCGCTGGAGAACGTGGCAGATGAAGTGGCGGCGATGCGTCGAGCACTTCAAAACCACGACTGGGTCGTGCAGTATGGCGTACAGCCCCGATTTCTCGTGGTTGCCATCGGTCCAACATGTGGGGGTTGCTGTCCTTAGGCCATCGAGACGCTCCGAAGAGCTATTGTCCACCACACCGAGGCCACATTGGCCTCCATCGATCAGGACGTGCTGCGCCGACTTCAGGACGCCACACTCAACCTTCGCTCGGCCATGAGTAAGAACGCGCTCGCGGCACTCGCCGAGTGCTTTGAGTTTGCCCCGGACGAGTTGGCAGCGTTGGACGTCGCACCTGTCGTGGAATCGATCCTGAACCGAGCTGCATGCGAGAAAAAGTTCTTGCGGGATGCTGCCGACTGCGCCCTCGTGAAACTGGCGACGTGTGTGCCAACCCACCGCGTTCTCGCGGCCTTGGCAAGCGTCGCCAGTAGCAAAAACAACAAGCTGTGCGTCGCTGGTTGCAGCAGCACGGTGCGACCAACTCTCGAGGGCATCGGTGGCACACGTTGGCATGCCGTGTAGGTGCTATGCCTGCAAACAATGAAGGCGCGGCAGGCGACGTTGGCCGACCACGAGGTAAGACCAGCCATGGTGCGAGCGGATGGCGGAGTACGCTGACGCGTCCGCCGGCCGAGCGTAGTCGACGAATGTGCTCATCCGGCAGTTGGTTGCGTTTCGCGGGGGGAAAGACGCAAAGACACGTGACGACGCGCTGGCGGCATTGTGCGTCGTGCGAGATCTCGTTGGCGGTGCCGACGTGTTCGATGCGATGGTGGCCAAAGCTGTGTCGAGCAAAGCGGTGGCATTCAAGGTGGCGTCGGACACGAAGATCGCGCCCAGTGGCCGACTGCGGCCAAAAGCGAGCTCCCGACCGACCGGCAGCTTGCGAGAGAACGTCCGCCTAAATCGTGCGACTGTAGAGTAAGTTACAAATAGCCTCCACGATCTACACTATGTGACGCATGATCTGACCATGACCATGCCTCCTCCGCCGCGTCGCTGCCGTGACGCCGATCTTCTGCTCGTGGGATGGCCTGGATCTCATGACGGTCGATGGGTGGGTCGCCCCCGCACCTGGCTGCGAATTCGTTGAACCCAACCACGTACCACCCAAACTTGAAGAGACTGTTTGCTTGAACGGCTCAGCATACCGCCGTAAAAGGTGACACGACCACTGGCCACATCACGTGGGTCTTGCTATACAACCACGACCGCTTGGCGCGCCTGGTTGCGCGCCGGCGCGCGGCAGGCCGAGTGTTTTTGTTGGCGTTGTTGGGGCAGAGGTGGCCAGCGACAAATTCCTCGAATCTTGTATCTCTGCCAGCCCACCGTCCCAGGTTTTCTCTTGCATTTTGTATACGCCTTGCTTCCGTGTCAGATGCCGGATTGCGTATAATACACATACCATCATCCGTGCTTCATAAAACAATCAAGACTAAACGTGGGTATATATTCAGATTTTGTCCCCTGTGGATTGGCCACAATTGTGCTGTCTGTCACTCACACCAGAAGGACGCAAATTCGTCCGTGGGATGGACGATGGCTCAACCCGCGCCGCCCGCCCACGCGCGCCATCGTGGCTGCCGTCGCGCGCGGCTTCTTTTACCCACGTGCTTCCTAGCGCACTGCACTCGCTGCTATAAGCGCTTCATGTGTTGAGGATGGCAGGTTGTGCAGAAGATGTTGACGAGGGGGGCAGCGTTGACGCATCCGGATGGGCGGTTTCGGATGGGCTTGGATGGCTCGTGAAAGTTCCGGAGTCCGGCTCGCAGGAGCTGCCTCGCGGCTGTGTGTGGTTCCATTATTGTTTGATCCAGAGAGCCTGACGATGCGAGGGTTGACTGCCGTTGTGGTGCTTGCTGGAATCGTGGCGACGGCGTCCAGCACCGCCACGGCCAGCCACAACGACACGGCGTCGATCGAAACGACGTACTACGTCCACGCGGTGAATGCAACGCAAGGTGTGTATGCCGCGTCCAGAAGTGCGGACGCCACGACGGCGATCCCGCCTGCGACTGCCTTCGTCGATTGGGACCACCTCTTTCCTTCCAACGCACAGAACGACCCAGTGACTAAGCTCGACGCAACCTACGGAACCAACACAGCCCCAGTCGTGGCGTCGCAACTGGGTCTTTACAACTCGACTGGCACGAATCACTCGAACGTGACGGCGACCGTTGCCAGCTATGCCAACACCACCGCCATCCATGCCGCCACCAGCAATAGCACTGCGGTGAACGACACAGCTCAAGATCGAACGCAGGTGAATGACGCCACTCGCCACGCGGAAAACAGCACTGCCATCGTCACCCCCCAAGCAACGACGCCGAGCTCCCACTTGGACCACCCCAACTCGACGTCGGTGAACGCATACCGCGAGAACAGAACTGCCTCCACGAACGCAACCAACCACACCAACCCGTCGTCGGATGCGTCCGAACGACTGCATGGCACGACCGGCAGTTCTGGCGGGACCTGGAACCGAACCAATGCAACGACGGCGGCACCCAATGCAACCAATGCATCGACAGCTTACCTCATCGGCCAGTACAACAACAC